GGAAGTGCAATGAAAGTATGACAAGACCTTGACCAAGATGATATGTATATTTCATGATGAGTTAACATCTATGTTTCAGCTGGCCATTTTGCCAAAGATTGCCCCAATGTTGCCGATCGTGGCCCTCGCACCTGCCGCAATTGCGGGTATGTCAAAATATCACAATCGGAGCCCTGGGATTGTCGCTGGTTCTAATATAAATGCAGATCCGAAGACCACATCGCCCGCGATTGTGACCAGCCTCGTAACCTCTCTACTGTTACCTGCCGAAACTGCGAAAAGAGTAAGTGTGATGCATGTCTATTTTTTAGCCATTATGAGCTGTGAAACAGAACTGACAACTACTGTTTTAGCCGGACATTACTCCCGTGATTGTGACCAGCCGAAAGATTGGTCGAAAATTCAGTGCAATAATTGCGGAGAAAGTGAGTTGATCACATGCGGGTCCTTTATACTTGACCTAGTCTGCTAACAATCCTCTAGTGGGTCACACCGTTGCCCGTTGCCGCCAGCCGCGCAAGGAGGAAGAGCCTCAGGACGAACCCGCTTTCTCCCCCGGCTCTCCCACGCGCGAAGAACCTGATCTGCTGGGCCCAGAGGCCAGCGAGGAACCGTTCGAATTCAAGCGCCATGGTGATAATGAGGACTTGTGGTAAACGCTACAATTCGAAGCCAGACTGGGATGACTGGGAAGCTCTAAAAGCAACCGCAATTTGGCTTCACTTTCTCCCCTTTTATGATGGACCCCATGTGAAGACTTGTTGGGTGTTGACTGTTCTTGGGTTGCTTCACGGTGGCCTGCGGCGGACAAAAACCCGATGTTACATATGGGGTCCCTTACTGCTTTTTACTTATCTTTTTTTTTTCCAAATCTTGCGATGTGTTTGATGTTAGCCAATAGTCTTCCCCAGGTGTTCACAATGATTGCTGACCGGCCGCAGGTCTGGATGGACCTGAGGATGGAGGGTCTGGGCAGGAGGGTCTGATCTGGGTGTATTCTTATCTGGTTGGCAAGTTTAAATTGAATGAAATATCCATTTAATGTATTCTTGACTCATTGTAGACTGTTAGTGTAAGATCCTATGAAGTCGAATGCTAGGTTGCAGTTTTATTCCTGAACTAAGGGGATGACGGCACCAGTTCGATCTGCCCAGGCAATCAGATTTCCCGAGGTCGGCTCCAGCCCGAGCATACGGTTTTAGAATCCAGTTTGTGGCAACGTGAAGGACAACTTGAAGGCTGCCGGGATGCCCTGATTCTGTCATTAAACTAAGCAGGGATAAACTCCCACATTGTCGATCATTGACCATTGATTCCTGATCGTCGTTATTGCTACTACATGTAGTATTCGTACTAGTTGCATGGTCAGGGACATTGTCATTTGGTATTTACGCTGTCATTACCGGGCTGATGTACTGGCCAAATCCGGGATTCCGGTGCTCTATCTACGTGGACTAGTAAGTTTTGGTAAGGCTTCTCTTGGAAATATTGCATTGAATGATACATAGTTATTATTACTAGTCTATTTGTGCAAGGACATTTTAGGCGATGGACTGCATAATTAGGTAGGATTGTCTAAATACCAGAGTTGCAGTTTGATACGTAATGGGCATATCCGAATCGGGCATCCCGTACTCTCGGGAACCCCGTGATTCGGCCTGTGCCGAGCAGGTTTTTGTGTAACACTAAGAACGGTAAGAACGGTAAGAACGGTAAGAACAGTAAGGACAGTAAGGATGAAATAACACATATGTACTATGTAGGTACGTATGAAAACCACCTACTTGTTTTGGATAGTAGACGTGTCAATGATGTCATCCAGCCTGGCTTCGGCGCCCAGTTTTCGGGCCCTGATGCCGGCACGGCTTATATGGAAAGTTCTTGAACCCCTTCCATGGCATCCCTGCCAAGTATGCTTGGCGAGTCAAAGGAAATATCAACAAAAAATCATACAATGAGTGCAAGTGCTGGAAAGCAATTGTGTGTGGTCTAAGGCCTAAAGTCAAGTCCACAGTATGTGGTACATAGTAGTCTCCCTCAGCGACGATCAGCGGGAAAAAAAAAAATGGGGAAGTCCGGGGGAACTGTAGAATCTCCAGGTTTGGGTCAAATACCACTCCAATTCAAACAAGACAAAAGTACCTTTTGAACCCACGTGAGCTTCCGTGAACCATGAACCTTGCAGCTGTCATACACTCCATCTCATCGACGGAAACAGAATTAGAAAAGGAGTGTGTCGAGTGCTCCATGGGTTCGATTTGATGCCACAAATCTTTTACCGTAAGACAATACTGTGACCAATACCGGAGACCGAGGCCATGCGAGACCCCTCGCATGGGCACCTGCACGCACCTCTTGCCGATTTGCGTGGATCCCGAGAAAACCTGGACCGATCAAAGTCTCCTGAAGATGTATGGCTCGTTCTCCATCGGGCCATAGTATAACCATCACCAATGCAACCCTACTATTGCTTTTCTGCTTCTCTGCTTTTCATTGGCTTGTCTCTTCTAGATTTCGATTTGCGCCCCAAAGCATGATATTAAGAGGTGGATACCCTCCTTGTTTGATTCTGGGGTTCATAAATCTGCACTTCCCCGGACCTGTTGCATTGAATCTTCTTTTCTCTGCTTAACAGTCTGTCCAATTCAAATCCATTTTCTGGGGCGAATACGAATCGTCGGACTATATTTGTTTTTTAGGGGTTGATTATATACAGTCTGTCCTTCTACAACCTAACCTATACACCACATCCGCCATGAAGCCATTCTTCGGCCTTCGGGGCGCGAGGCTGAATATCATGATCGGTGTTATTGCCGGTCTTGATTTCTTGTATGTTGGTCTTTCAATTATCTACATTCAAAGTACGCATCGCTAACGTCGGATTGCACAGGCTATTCGGATATGACCAGTATGTTATTCCAAAGCTATACACAAAAAGTCTAAAGTGCTTCTTTTGCTAACACTAACACCCAACAGAGGTGTGATGGGAGGTCTATTGACCTTAAACTCATTCGTTACGGTCTTCCCCGAGATTGACACCACTAAATCGAGTTCATCGACCAGTAACAACGCGACTACACAGGGTATGCAACTCCATGGCAACCTTTTTTTTTTTTTTGCATTCATATACTAATTTCTCAGGAATCACCACCGCTTCTTATAACCTGGGCTGTTTCTTCGGCGCAATCCTCTGCATCTGGATTGGAAACTACCTTGGCCGCCGTAAGACAATTTTCACCGGCTCCATCATCATGGTCATCGGGGCTACGCTACAAGCCAGTGCTTACTCCCTACCGCATTTCATTGTCGGCCGTATTATCACCGGTATCGGCAATGGCATGAACACCTCTACCGTCCCTACATGGCAATCTGGTAAGTATTTGGCTCTATCGGAGAGGAGGCACGATGCTAATATTACTTAGAATGCTCCAAGTCTCACCACCGTGGAAAACTAGTCATGTTTGAGGGTTCATTGATTGCTGCTGGAATTACGATTAGTTACTGGCTCGATCTTGGATTCTCCTTCCTCGACCCTAGCTCCGTTGCGTGGCGTTTCCCAATTGCCTTCCAAAACGTCTTCGCACTGGTCATCTTGATATTTGTGCTGCCGCTGCCCGAATCACCTCGCTGGCTGATCCTCAAGGGCCGTGAGCAGGAAGCGTTGGGTGTTCTCGCCGCGATCCTAGACTTGGATGAGAACGATCCCTACGTCCACTCGGAATTTTCTGCTATCAAGGATGCAGTCCTGGCTGCTTCGAGTGTCAGCTTCCGTGACTTGCTCACCATGGATGAGAACCGCCACTTCCATCGTGTGGTACTCGCCTACGTCAACCAGATGTTCCAGCAGATCTCTGGTATCAACCTGATTACCTACTACGCTGCCTTCATTTATGAGAACTCTCTCGGTATGGATGGCTTGACATCGCGCATCCTAGCCGCGTGCAACGGCACTGAATACTTCTTGGCATCTTTGATTCCCATCTTCGTTATTGAGAAGGTGGGCCGACGAGTTCTGATGTTGGTTGGTGCCGCTGGTATGTCGATTTCAATGGCTGTTTTGGCCATCACCACTAGCTTCGAAGGCGAGACAAAGCCTGGTATTGCCGCTGCCGTGTTCTTGTTTGTCTTCAACACATTCTTTGCCTTTGGCTGGCTGGGGATGACCTGGTTGTATCCCGCTGAAATTGTAAGGCTTTCTTTTTTTTTCTTTTCTTTTCTTTTTTTTTTTTTTTTTTTGTGTTAAAACACCCACTAACAATGCAATAGGTGCCTCTACGAATTCGTGCTCCCGCCAACGCACTCGCAACTTCGGGCAACTGGATCTTCAACTTCATGGTTGTCATGGTCACGCCTGTTGCATTCGATACAATCAAATACAAGACATATATTATCTTTGCTGTCATGTGAGTATTCCACGCGAAATATGATTTGTGCACGACTAACTCTTCTAAATAGCAATGCATTCATCTTCCCCGTCGTCTACTTCTTCTACCCTGAAACTGCTTATCGATCCCTGGAGGAGATGGATACGATCTTCCATAAGACATCCAGCGTCTTCAATGCTGTATCGGTGGCCCGCAACGAGCCCCACCGCTACGGCAAGAAGGGCGAGCTTCTTATCAATTATGAGGAGACCGAGGAGCACCTGCGCCGCGCTAGCTATGTTTCAGAGAAGAAGGTCAAGCTGACTAATGAGATGGACGATATGGAGACCGGCAAGGGTACCCATGTTGAGCACCGCAAGGATAGCTCGTCCGACAGTAGTCCAACCCCTTGAGAATGGCAGATTCTTACTTTATTTAGCTAAACATTTTGCGATATCAATCAACGATTTACGATTCAGTATACATCTCGAATACTAGATCGAAATTCCATAAAATTATGGCATACAATCATCATAGGAACATCATGTCTCTCAAAAGGTATCACCGACAAAATTCGGTCATGAATGATCCCATTCAACCTCAAATCATCGTTGAAGCACAACCTGTCCAAGCTGTTCACAGCCCAAAGGCCAATCCACCAACCGCAGCAACCAAGACAGCAGCTAGGATGCCAGTTCCACTAACGCTCATACTCTCCGCGGAACTTGCCCCAATAACTGGACCAGCTGCAACAGTGTCATCTGTTGAATCAGACACGGTAGCAGACGGAGCGGCAGCACCAGTCGACAAGGTGACAGGCGCAGTCGAGCTTTTAAGAGAAGTCGCCTCATAAGGAGTCGAGAACGAGTAACTAGACGACTTCCTGCTAAGCGACGACGTCGCTTCAGCCCTATCTGTCGCATAAACAGACCAGATAGTACGTGTACTCGTGGTAGTTGAAGTAACCGTCTGAACAGTGTAAGGGGCATAAGAAGTCCAGTAATAGAACCAATAAGTCCTATAAAACAATCAGCGAGATCCTTCCAGCGAGAAAAAAAGAAAAGAAAAGAACAAACCAGTAGATAGTAGTATAATAATAATCCCAATCAACCTCAACATAAGTCGTCGTAGCCCGAGTCGTCTCAACCTCCGTCTCCGTAGACGTAACATCCGGAGCCGTAAGCGTACCACCAGACCCAATGCCATCATTTTCCCCAATACAGCCACTCAACGGACAACAAACCTTCTCCCCGTCATAGATGCGACACTTCTTCCCGGCCCGACAATAGTAACCGCCAGAACAGCACTCCCCGCCTATCGGCGCGCATCCCGTCGTCCCGTCACAGCACTTGTATCCAGCCGCACACGTGCCACCGCCTGTGCAGCACGCCTCGCCGATGTCAGCGCAGTACCCGTTCCCGCAGCATTTCCCGCTGGACGGACAGCAGCGACTTGTGTCGTAGGCGCATTCGCTGTATCCGACGTTGCATTCTAAGGCGCGGGCGTTTAGACCGGGGTTCTCGCTGAAGAGGGAGAATGCATCGTCCGCGCTGAGGGAGACGTTGGAGAGAAGTTGGGGTTCGTTTTTGGTTGTTGTGCTCGTTGCTAGGTTGGTGAGGAGGAGGGATAGGGCTAGGGTTGTAAAGGAGGGGATTGGGATTGGGGGGAGCATTTTAAAAGTGTAATGGAGGTATAGAGCTTGATAGCTAGTGAGATTGCGTGGCACCCTGCTTTGTGCTCTGCTTTGGAAAATGTCGGATTTGGGGCGGAACTGTGATTTTTAAGTCGCTATTCCCTGGATACTACCTACATTGACGCGGCTGGTTGGAGGTAAATCATGCCTCTAGTGAGGCTGTTTAAGGTTGTTGTTCGTATTCGCGGGAATTTGGGGTGGCATTCCACGTAAATACGAGATTGGTGCCGCTTGGCGCCGGACTCGAGCCGCTTTTTTTTGTGATTCATTTACGAGTTTCTCGCCGTATGAGACCAAGAAGAGGAGTTTGGGGATTGCGCTAGGCATCTAGCCTTGGTGCTAGGCTGCTTTCTTGTTGATAATGTTGGTGTGAAGGGTCTGAAGTGTTCTTGGCTTTAGGGCTTAGCGATCCTCGTGATATCTACTCCGTTTGGTTAGACTTGAATGTTCTGACGTTGCTTTGTCGAGATGAGAACCCCATCTTGGACAGCAAATTGAATTTGCCCAGTTCTGGGAATCCCTAGTTCTCGTGGTAGAGTTCGAGCTTTATTATTGGAGAGGTTCGACGTTGTGAAGGGTACCTGTTTTCCCCAAAATATACAAGATCTTCTCCGTTTGTGTCCTTTAAGTACAGAGTACTACCAACATGACTGCCATAGAGAGCACATATTTGTCTGGTTTGAATGTGTTTGGAATTCCTTGTCACCCTTTATTTATAATTCATATTATTTTCTATATTGGATACATGACCAGGCATGAAACATGGAAATAAAGTGGCATCAAAGTAAACGATGAAGCTCCCTAGTAAAGCAATTTATGCCTAGGCCACCCCTAGCGCTCAACTTTCCCATCTTCTATGCAAGATCGTGCATCAAATCATTTTTATACCATTCGGCGGGGTCTCTGCTATTTCGATCTTGGCTTTAATTTGTTTTCAACCCAAAATTTTATTTTATTTTTCCTTTTTCTTCAGCTTGTGAGTAGGATCGAATCCACAAGGGAAGCCATGGTAGGGGTATTCCGGACCATCTCATGCATATCAAGGAACTCAAGCTTGACTTTCTTTCCATTCCTTGGTGGTAGATCCTGGTGTTCATCAACATTCTCCTTCCCTGCGCGATAATATGTTCCTTGGCAGTCTCCTCTTCCTTCTAGGGTGCCACTCTCTTAGCTGGAGCCTTCCTCAGTTCCAGAGCCTGAATAGCCTGGTTTCGGCGCATTGCATTCGTCACGGAGATACATTTGCAAGTCAAAGAACTCGGAAAGCGACGTAGCCGGTTCGCAATTTCGAGGCCTCATTGTCCTGCAGCGAAATCGACGCATCATGAACTCGGCATGCATTCGAGACATCGTTATACGATTGAAATCCTTTTCGGCGAGTAATAAACCGCCATAAAGATCTTTCCAACTTGCCTCGGGCTTTTGACCAATGAACGGACGCTTGAAGCTTTCATCGGGGATAACATCAACTCTAGTTTTGCCCTTGAGAGTTGTCTCGACACTGCCTCTGTCCGGGGAATTTGATGGAACCCTCAAATACTTGTAATACTTTTTGCCAGCTGTGGTGGTTCTACTTCCACTCCTGACTTGACTGGGATCCCGGTTAGGATGTTTGGCTGGGCTAGACTCGTCTTCTCTCTTTGGGGTTTGCTCGGTGAAGCTTGCCGCCGGGGCTTCGTGGGGCTCGTTGTCTTCTGATCTTTTGCTATCTTCTGGCTATTTGGCATCTTCTGGCTTTTTGGTATGCTCGATCTGGACCTCTTTGCGGGTGCTGCTATCAGGGCGGGCTGGTGAAAGGCCAAAATGCATGCCAGCTCGGAGATCGGCCAAGATCCGTTTGAGCCTTTTGATACTTTGACGCCAGTTGCCGTGAATAGGGCGGACGGAGAAACGTTTCTTAGGTTGGGGGTCGGCCCCGGTTCCCGCGACATTTGAAGACATTGTGAGTGAATAAAAGATGTAGGTGGTATTAGGCGAGATTCGTCGATGACTGAATGACCACTGTAGGAGTGTCCGATACAGCAATGTGAGTGGTGTCGGGCACTGGAGTCTGCGTGATGACTAGGAGTGAGACGGCTGGCACGGTGGGAATTGTCTCAGGGCATACTCATAGATGTTATTGATGGAAGAGTAATGTGGAATAATACGACTTTGGATCTACATTTAGAGATCAGAGATACAAGAATTGTTTGAAGAAAACAGACCGTTGTGGATGGACGTGAAGATTCTGGGTAAAGAAGATGAAAGATTGAGAAACGATCAGGCCTCTGAGCTCCAGACTTTAATGCACATATTTGCAGGAGAAAACGGATTAGCTTTCACATGGAAGACGAGAGGGAATGGTAGATGAAATTGTGACGTGAAGAAAACAAAACGGACATTGCGAGTATCTAATCTGGGAGCTACCCAACTGGCGAGCTGTAGGTAAATAAATGACATATATGCATTCCTTTTAGATTCTTGCCTTCTGTCCTCTGCTTTAGAATACTACTAGTAGATATGCCACTCTTAGCCCGAGCCCTAATATTACCCGATTCGGATATGTGATAGACCACGTGATACTCCCGAGACCGGCGATCAAGATGATGATGATAATGAGAACACATAACTTGAATGGTAACGATTGCAAGGTTTCCAAGAGTAGTTCTGACTCATTGCTTGGCGTACTATTTTGACTGTTGGATATGGGCCAATTGTTCGCAGGTGACAGCTAACAGCTGATAGCTTTATAAGGGACCAGATCCAAAGTAAAAATATACATACAAATAGAGACATAGAGACATAGAGACAATAACCCATATCGAACATACAACATACGAAGATCCATAGGTAAGGATAGCCTCGGGGGGAAAAGATTTAAGGTTATCCTCGGTGAAGAGCTCGTTGGGGCCAAAACACCGTAAGATTTTCCCTCAACCTCAACCCTCAATCTTAATCTCAACCTCAACGGGGATTTCATTAATTCTCGGATGTTTGAGCTTATGAGTCACGCGATTCCGTGCAGGCTGTAATCCTTTCCTTATATATCGGATAAGCCTTCCTTATATATTGGGGTCAGTGTTTTTCTCCGCCAAGATCCACACCCCTCTCTTTATCAGATCCGAAAACGGAATCTTCTTTTTTCTTTCGGAGATTCACATCAAGGTATGTGTACCTCTCTCTCCCTGACCTCAATAAAGAATTATTCTCTTCCAAAGGAAATTGGAATATCCGAAATGAATTCCACTAACTTAAAATTCACAGAACTCAATTAGCACTGCTTTAGCACTGCTTTAGTACAGTCGATTGACTGTTTGCCCGCAAAGAGGCCGAATAAAAAGTTTATACACACATATAATAATAATAATAAAACGACAATATGTCCACCGAACATCAACATGCCTCTGTCGGCGTTGACAAACGACCTGCCGTTGAAGCTATCTCCGAGCAGCCAGAAGCAGCTCAAAGCCAGACGTCCTCGGACGACAGTGAGTCCTTGGACCACAGCGTGGCCAACATCGAACGAATCTACAGGTGAATTGCATCTATCTCCGAGAACCAATTCAATCTCAAAATCTAACATCCACCAGAAAACTGGACCGTCGCATCATCTCCGCATTCTGGGTCCTCTACTTCCTCTGCTCAGCCATCCGTTCAAACGTAGGCCTGGCACAGACAATGAACACAGACACCGGCCACGACCTCGCAAGCGTGCTCAACCTAACCCGACACGAAATTTCAACCGGTCTAGCCCTGTTCTACGTCTGCTATGTGATCTTCGATCTCCCCTCAAACCTAATCATGACCCGTCTAAGCCCCCACGTCTGGATGAGCCGCATCGTGATCAGCGTAGGCTTAATCGGAAGCTGTCTCGCCGCAATGAAGGCAGCATGGAGCTTCTAGTACGTTCAACCCCACCCCGAAACTCTCCATCCTATATCCCATGTCCAATATCTAACGAACCCCAGCCTCCTCCGCCTCCTCCTCGGTATCGTCACCGCAGGCATGTGGCCCGGCATGACGTACTACCTAACCCTATTCTACCCGCCCTCACGCATCGGCAAACGAATCGGGCAATACTTCACGGCCTCCCAGGTCTCCGCCGCCGTAGTCGGCCTCGTCTCCGCCGGCTTCCAAAAAATGGACGGCGCCCAAGGCCTCGTCGGCTTCCAATGGATGTTCCTCGTCTACGGCGTCATCACCGTCGCCCTGGGCTTCGGCCTGCTATGGTGGTTACCAGACAGACCCACGCCGCCGGGTGAACCCGCCCCAAAACGCTCCTTGATGATGCGCTGGGTACCTACCACCGCACCCGCGCTGAAGGGCGCCGATGCCGTCGTGCATTACCATGATCTGAAGCGTGTTTATCACTCATCCGCATGGACGATGCGGGACCTGCTCGCGGTGTTCTTAGATTGGAGACTTTACCCGCTGCTGGTTATGTACTTTGGTGTTGTGGGTGTTGGTATCGGCGTGCAGTTGTATGCGAACGTGATTATCAAGGCCATTGATCCGACTTTGAGTGATATTTCCTTGAGTCTGTTGACGGCTCCTATCTGGATTGTAAGCTTCTTTCCCTTCTTTTTGTTTTTCTTTTTCCATTTCTGGCTCTCTTTTCATCCATTCATTCATTCACTAACATCCCCGTCCCCTTCCTACAGATGGACCTAATTGCCATCCTCCTCGTAACCCCCCTCTCCGACCGCTTCCACCGCCACCGCGCAATCTTCTTCTCAATCCCCGTCCTCCTCCAAATCCTCGGCCTCCTCCTAACAAGCTACGCGGGCACGGACGCAAACCCCTGGCCACGGTACGGCGGGCTTCTAATCGTTGGATTCGGACTCGGCCCCACAGTCCCGATAACGATGACCTGGACGACGGAGATATTCCAGCCTCGACACGGCGAGGTCGGCGTAGCTGCTGCGTCGGCTGTTGTCTCCGGTCTCGGTAATCTGGGCAGTATCCTTACGACGTATGCGCTGTATTCTGGTTGGAAGAGTGACTACGAGGCGCCTGGTCGCGAGAAGTATAGAAAGAGTAATCTCGTCATGATTGGTATTCTGGCGGCGAGTATTCTTTCTGCGGCATTGATGGAGGTTATGTTGCGATTTGTTGATGGGAGGTATCGTGATGATGATGCTGATGGCGCGGTTGACGGGGCTGCGAGGCGGGAGGTGCGTCAGCGTGGGTTGCATGGCCTTGGGGCTGGTGTTACGCGTTGGTTGAAGCTGGGAAGGTGATTGACAGGTAGACTTGTGTGTCTGTGTGTGGGGGTGTGGCCGTGGCGGAACGGTAAAAGTTCTAATTTTGCTCCTTCCGTTGATGTGTGGACTTCTATAGAACGATAGAAGCATAAAAGGGAATGAATACGAACTAATTTTGGGCATAGATAGCTTTTGGAGAATACCCTGTTTCGTAAGGCAAAAACTAGTCAAATGAATGAACAGTATTCTACATCCATACTTCTTGAGAGGTTGGTCGTGTTCGGCTATATAAGACTGTCATGCATTCCATGCTCTATAAAAGGGAAGACCTTGATTGGATACTAGAATGTGATACTAGATTGAGTTCAAGATCCTTCCATACGGCACGAAAGACGATCTGGCGAGACACCCGTCGACCCGATCTAGCTAAGACCAATGGGACTAATGTACAAAAAGTACGAGGGCTCAATTGTCAAGCAGTGCTGTTGTTGACTCAGACACGAAAATTACTCCAAGAAGGTGAGGGTCAGTGCAAATGTTAAACTTGGTATTAATTGTCGATTCTCCAGAGGAATGATATCAGTATGATATCTCTCGATAAACGATGGTGTGGTTTTCCCATCCTTGAATATTCTATGCTATTGTACGTGTCACATTACCCTGTGAAGGGCAGTCGAGAGAAAACAGAAAAAAAAAAATAAGTGCGGCTGGTGCAACGAGGGAGGGCCAGCAGTAACGCAATAAGCGGACACTGGAACCGGGAGAAAGTAAAAGGATAGAACACGGGAAGAAAGACAGGAAGAGGAAGAGAGAGAGAAAGGCAGATCACAGAACATCTATGGGGACTCCCTCACGCAGTCAGGCCGCTCTGGTCCGACTCCCAGGTTGACGCCGAGGGTATCGGAGCGCTAAGACCAAATGATTCCTATGCATTTAGAGGCCACCACACATAGTCTCGACGATGATACCAGTGATCTGGTAGGGATCAGCGTTCGAGGCGGGGCGGCGATCCTCAAAGTAACCCTTGCCGTCCTTAGCGCACTGGCGGGGGATACGGATGGAGCCACCACGGTCGGCAACACCGTAAGAGAACTTATCGATGTTACCGGTCTCGTGGCGACCGGTGAGACGCTCCTCGTTACCCTCACCGTATACGGCGATGTGCTCAACGTGGCGGGCCTCGAACTTCTTCATGGTGGCCTCGATGACCTTCATACCACCCTCGGCGCGAGTGGCCTTGGTGGAAACGTTGGAGTGAAGACCGGCACCGTTCCACTCACCCTTGATGGGCTTGGGCTCGAAGGAGATACGGACGCCGAACTCCTCAGCGACACGGTGGAGAAGGAAACGGGACATCCAGAGGTGATCACCCACTGAAAAAAAAAAAAAAAAAACGTTAGTCTTCAGATATTTCATTGTCAAGAAATTTGGCAAAACTTACTATCGATACCGGGGCAGGGGCCGACCTGGTACTCCCACTGGGAAGGCATGACCTCAGCGTTGATACCGGAGATGTTGATACCGGCGTACAGACAGGCACGGTAGTGAGCCTCGACGATATCACGGCAGTAGACCTTGCCGGTACCGACACCGCAGTAGTAAGGACCCTGGGCACCGGGGAAACCGCCACGGGGCCAGCCGTAAGGCCATCCATCAGTACCGAGGAGAGTGTACTCCTGCTCCAGACCGAACCAGAAGCCCTCGTCGGCGTTGGTCTCCATCAGGCGGTTGGCTTCGTGACGGTAGTTGAACTTGTTGGGGCTTCCATCGGCATCCCAGGTCTCGCAGAGGACGAGGATGTTGTCACCTTGGCGGAAGGGGTCGGGGTAGTAAGCGACAGGGCGGAGGTAGACATCGGAGTTGTCACCGGGGGCCTGGTTGGTGGAGGAACCATCGAAGTTCCACTCAGGAAGCTCATCAACACTCGTGACGGGCTTGAACAGAGTCTGTGAACGATTCAAGTTAGTGAGATGTTCTGAAGGAGCACTAACTCACGTGACGGCGGGTGGCTGCGTTGATTGCTAAATCAAAGAATCCCCGTGCACAGGGCTTATCGAGGGCCCGAGAGGGGATTCCAGATAAGAACATGCAGTAACCACGCCCCACAAAGTCCACAAGTGTATAGCCCAGGAGATAAGAACCTGGAGACCAGATTGAGATGAGTCATACCTTTGTCTTGGAGCGAGTGCCACCGTTGGAATCAATCCAAACGTATTCAGCCTGAATGCGACCACGCTGGTCGAGGTTCATGTACTTCATGAGCTGTTTCCCCATGTCAAGTCAGTATATGTCATTCCTCTCTGGCTCGAAGGCCATTGTGGAAATCCAAAATCAAGAATCAAACGCACATTCCCCGTGTTGGAGACGACAGTTGCAGATTCGGACGCCTGTAGAGAAGCAGAGGTTAGGCTCGGTTCAACACAAGAGATGAAGGGATGACTCGTACCATAATGAATATGGGGTATGTGTTATGGGTTTAGAACGGGTTTTCAAGCAATCAAGCAACTTTTGGTAAGAGTCCCGAAGGAAGGAAAGCACGAAAGGGACCTCAAGAAGAAAGCGAATTGAATATGGATGAGAAAATCCAAAGGAGGAGAGAATGAGTTTTAAAGATGTGGAGGGGCAAGGGAGGGATGATAACCTTTTAGTAGAAAAAAGAATTTAAATTTAGTCACTGACTTTCTTTTTTGGGAATTTTCCTTTTTTGATTTTTGATTTTTTGATTTTCTTGGCAAAATCAGGAAGGCGCGGCTCAGCCACTCCCTAAATAGGTTAAGCGTTGTATTGTGACTGTAAAGCTCTGGCCCGATACGGGGTACCGATAAAGTACCTCATACATTTTGAGCGCGTCGTCGGCAATTCCTCTCCTGAAACCGGTTGTCGTTGGGGAAACCAAAAAAGAAAAAAGGCCTCACTCTATTTTAGTACATTTCAATATAACATTTTTAATGCCTCAATATCGAAATAGAACATTTACTACTCTCATATGTCAAAAGGACCTTTTTTTTTCTTTTTCTTCCACAGCCGAGGGGAACGCAGTAGCCTGTGAAAGTTGAAGTTTCAACTTTTTACCGAATTCAACGCCACTCGTCAACTTCCGTCATCATCTTCGCATCATTTACAACACCCTTCGCCGGTCCTCGCCGAGGGATCTACTATTATACCAGCTTGATTTTGTTATGGTCGAATCAAGATGCGACTAGCACTCTATTCTATCCGTTTACTCCGTATTCCCGTACAATGTAGCTCTTCTCCAGACTTTCACCTCCGCATCCTCGAGATGTCAACCAGAACCGCTCCCCTTACCCGAACCCAGCCAAGTCTGCGTGTGTGTGTGTGTGCTGACTGGCGATAGCCCTAACTAGCGCCCAATCAGCGGTCTGACCTTGTAGTTAATGAAACTCTATGGAATACAGTGATATGAGCAATCCATCTTCTCCCGTTGGACCGATAAGATATATAGAATAGGCAGGGATTACAGGGGATGTTAATATGTAGAGCCGAATATAGCGCATGGCCTTTCCCAGATCTGGTGTTCTTATCCGGTCTTCTCTCCGAAATAAAACACCTGCACGTCTTATCGGGATCTATTCATCCCACTGAGATACACATCTTCCCAGCCTCAAATGTAAATATTCATGCTAAACAGATAGTGATACATTGGTCACGCTTCTTAGCAACTGGCGCCAGGATCCCCGGGCCGAGCGCATATCAGGTGCAAATCCTGCAAGTGCATTGGGGGGGGGGGGAAGTGTATTCAAGACGAAAAAGCAAGGTGAATTCTAGGTGAACTCTTTCAGCCCGCTAAATTGATAGAAATGTTTTTTTAAAAAAGAAATCTTACGATTTCAATCACGCGCGCGTCGCGAGAATAGCTATGGAAAACTGTACGGTGTACAACGCAAACGGCTAAGTATTCCGCCGTTCCTGAGAGTCCTCGGAGCTATCACCAAATGACAACAGCGCAATTTGTTATCGCATGGCATGTTACATGGCTAGAACGTCGTTGTTTTTCCAAGTACTCCGTACTCCGTACCTGTGCCTTCTATACGCGCCGTTATCATTGTGTATATCTTGTTCCTGCAGATGGACAGGTACCCACAGAGTACATATGCTACTTAAATCACGCGAACCGGACCGGTACAGAGTACATCCACTATACCTTTGTAATACAAGGTCCGCACAAACTCCATTTACTGGAGAAGCCAGCCACGCCGCGACTGGGATATCAAGTCATAGCCAGGCCAGTGGGGTGGACCGTGGCAAAACGTTCTCGAAACCCCCGTCGATTCATCAATCAGACCAATCAGATCCGATCTGCTGGGACCGCCCCGACACCGGCCATGGATAAGAGAATCAATGCAGTATTACAGGTCGACAGGGCATTTCGGTTATTCATATGTGTGATTTCAATTATGTATTGCAAGAGTCACGAGTCCGTGGGTGATTTTGGATGTGTTTTCTTAGGTAAGAGCACTCGAGAACCGAAGTTTAATATTCTTTATATGGGTGCACAAGAGATGCATCTCGGGAGATTTAGGTCAGGGATTCTCCAATGAATAATAAAGTGGCGACGAGATCTCCTTCCCCCGTATTTTCTCCGGCAAATGGAAGACTGGCAAATGTCGGGAGTTTCAGGAATCTACGGCGACTGAGTGGCTAAGGTTCCGATCTTCAGCCCTGTGCTCCTTATTTCTCCAGGTTTTGGTTTCCGTATAGTTTTAGTGCAATACCAAACCCATCTAGCTTAAGAGTCATGTTCTAGCTTGGAGCCATATTTAAATCTGAAGAGTTTGCCTTCAACTGCAGGTATATTAATAGCATCCATGGATACTGAGACATCTAGATTCGGGCTTAGTCACCAGCCAAGTCTGGGGGGCTGTGCGTGGTACTACCAGTGATGTAGTGTTACTCTATATATAAACGACATCGTACATATTTAGTGAGAATAAAATGCAAATCTCTATGATGGAATGCAAAGAAAATCCATATGATACAATATGAGAGAAATAATATGAAATATCGACCTGGGAAATATCGAATATCAAAATCCCCATAGATCGACATTTCCCCTTTCTTATCGCACCCTTCTCATTGGCTCTTAGCGCCAGTGACAAACCACGCTGACTAGAATATCGCACATTCAACTGATATTCACGTAATTGCTTTCTCCTTATTTGCTAGATCGATTTAAATCAGGTCAGATGTTCCATATCTTACCTAGAATAGCCGAGTATCCTATCCTACAAACATATTTTGAGCGTTTTATAGGAAACTATGTTGAAAATGCCTCATCGGAATGTTCGAAAGCGGAACGAAGGGTCGACATGACACATGGATACTCCATAGATCAGTTTGATCTTCAACAAAATACTATTTCCGATACTGATCACCAGGCTGTTTGGAATAGAAGTGGCTCCTATGCCAAGACTTTATACTGGCATCGGACTCCCTGCCCAGCCTGTAATTACATTTAGTTATCCAGATCTTAGATAACTTGCTTCCGAAATCCACATAAGAACAAAATAAGAACAAAATGAGGATAGTTAAATGTTGTATAATAAGTACAGAAAAGCTGGTTGATCGCCAAGAGGTGGTCGCGGACTATGACATAGATAGCTCCATATAACTACATACCAGGTCTCAGTTAAAACCTTCAAAAAGCGCCCATTTATGGTTAATCACACAAATGGTCGGCGCTAAACCCTCACTTTTTGACGTGGAGTTGACCGAAAGTTCGAATAATGCCTCATAAGCCAATAAATGGCCCTGGCATGATATCCCTTGCACATGGCAGATCGGTTGACCGAGAAAATTTGAGATCTAATGCCTCATTCATTGTACAGGTCTAAGTTACACCACGTCTGGGCCTTCGGTCGACTTGAGAAAACAAAGACAGCCAATGCGTCTAGTCCATACAACAATGTATAACGTGATCGGCACAGGCTCTTATTATTGACGCCCAACTCTATTAAAAATACAGATACAGATACAACGGCACTGGTTCATCTAGGTACATCTGGGTACTCCGTATTCACTCACGTCATCCAGCCAACGTCGGTCTAGTGTAACCTGCCCTATTTCCACCCGATCTATATTTTCATGTTCCAAGTAACAGCCTATGCCCGGAAGTATGCATCCATCTAAAACTTGGAAGTGACGCACAATGGCCTAGGTCCACGAACCCCGCATCATATTTAGGGCCTAGACTTATCTGATCGACTCTTGAAACAGACTGCCACATTTTGCTTAGGTACACCTACATGCATAGGTACCTAGATGCGTCCATATGAGAGATCTGCGTTATTTTTGAAAGATCCTTTCAAGGTATGTTGTGGGTATAGAAGAAAAGAAACATTATCTTACATCAAAACATGAAAGTTTGAGGTGAGTGGTGAATGTGGAATCCGCTAAGCTGAAGCAGATCTTGCGAGTCACGTCAAGAAGCTTATTCGGGAAATTCCAACGCGCAGCGTAGCATGCTGATTCCAATAGTGGTGAGCTTGAGGCTCCCTCCACCCTAGTGACTTCGTCTACCAATACACGAAGCTAGAAAACCTGGGTGATCTTGTGGAAGCTCCAACTTATTAAATCAATGATGTTGATAAATGTAACTATGTATCCCCAGTCACATTATGTGATCCAGTACTTTCTTGAGCTTATCTAGAATTTAGATATTCAGGTCTCAATTGAGTAGAAACTGGTGATAGACTAGCCAACTAGTAGCCCATACATTATATGAGTCGTGTGGCAGAAGAGTCCTGGGGCAGCTTGGATGGTGGAGTGCCCCGAGCGCTAACTGTTACTTCAGCTAGCAAGGTCCTACACTAACTGTAGTGTACATTGCGACCACTGTACAACTGCATTGTAGCGGGTTGCATATCAATGTCAAGCGTGAGTCAAGAGAAATTGCGAGACTAGGAATTGCCTTGGCCTGGGAATACAAGAATTTTGTATCTCAGTGCCACTGGATCTCACCCATTGCCAGCCCGCTGTTGCATCCAACGCAATACCCACTCAACCAAGATGCTTAAGTCTTGCGAGACCTCGAGCACTCTGGCAATCTTCTTTTGTACATCCTGGAGCTCTGAATCAAGGTTATCCATACCCTGCATTTCAGTGTCGCCACCTGCTTCACCGTCCACTAACCCAGCAGTCTCTACAACTGAGATCTGCCCGTTCAGCCCGACTTCAAAGCAAATCGCAATTTGTCTTGGGGTTTGAATGGATCGAGTGGTATCGGGGCGGCTCTCGTTGTAGTTCTTTTGGTCTGTGATGAGTAACATGAGAGCAGGCGCCTGACCGAGTTGGATACGCAATGTCACATCCACTTTGACGTCGTCCACGGACAGTTGGTTGGGACTCTTTCCTCCACTGGAGGGGGTTGAAATTCCAACTCCAGAGTCATTCTTACTATCATCCGAGCTACTCAGACCTAGCAGCAGATTCAACCTCTCCTCGTTCGGATCATCGTTGTTCAAAATTATGGGCCCGTCGTGGCCAGCGAAGAGGTCTGGGGTCTGGACAGGAGAAGCGCGGGTATTTTGGGGGGCTGCGTTTGAAGACTCGGTTGGGTTGGTTTGGTCCTTGGAAGGAAGATGGAACGTCTTCCGAATCAAATTGGCCAACACGGCATACTGCCGCAGGATCTAAACCGAGTTAGTGGAAGACAACATCGGGCAAAAACACACATACCGGAAGGATATCTGCGAGCTGCCGGGGGTGGGAGAAGGGTAGGTCGTGGATGGTGCAACCGGTAATGGACTCAAAGGATTGGAAAGTGTAGTTATGTTGATTCGTATATTGCTCGCCCTTTGAGTCAACAGCATGCACTGACACCCGGCGCTTTCTACGGCCAATTCGAGGGGATGAAACCGGCGACGCCAACGCTGAAGATTCCGATACTAACAGCGCATCGTATGTGATCATCTTAAACTCTTGTGGTAGCTGCATACCAAGCTGACGATAGATCTCGGAGGCTGCAAGAATAGGAACGTCGAGTGCAGGCTCAAGTTTACCGACGAACCGGCGGTTGGGTGGCGATGATTCCAGCATGCTAGAGTCCAACGCCATGGGGTCATGGTTGCCATGGGTTAACCGCGTGGTCTGTGGAGGTTCAAGCCAGTTCACAGACCCAGCAGCACCATTTGATGGAAGCAATTCAGTGCTTTCACCCGCAGTAAAAACTTCACTCCCAACCCATTCCTTTGAAATGCGCAGTGACGGATAGCCCTCTTCGCATTCGATCATGACAGTCCATGATCTGCTTTGGTCGTCCAAATCGCCCTTTGAGCCTTCATCATGTTGCGGGTCAATCTCCATGGCATCCGGAGATGATAGGCTTTGCTTCGCATCCAGGACTTTGGCTTGCTCAACCCAATATTCCAAGCCGAGCCCGATTCGAGTCCCCTTATGCATGGTAGGACGTCCGAGGACACCTGCGCAAAGATGCTGATACTCGCCGCCGTGTTTCCCATTCTTGCTTTCTTCCACCCAGATTCGCCTGAAGTTCTCTTCAAGATTCTCCAACGCCTCAAAGCAATTAACCTCTTGGCTGAGTTTGTCAAGTTTTGCAAGCCATTGTAGATTTTCGTGGAACTCTAGGAGTGACCTCCATTTCCCGCATTCGGCGTCTTCCGGGGACTGGGCGAGCGTACGTTTCAATACCGCCGTAGCCTCCTCGCGCCGCACACCTTCCGTGTATTCAGGCGTGGCATATCGCAGACTGACATCTTTGACGACATCCTGGCCAGGGTAGAAATCGATCTCAAGATCGACGAAGTTACCGGCGATGTTGAGATTATCGTCCTGCCAAATGGACTCAAAATCCTCCAGTCGACTCAGCCGTTCCACGCTTTCGCGTGAAACTCCTCTACCAGATACTCGGGCCCGTAGAAGCTGAACGACCTCCTCAACACGATGTCTCTGCTCTTCGTCGTTGTCGCGCGCGACTCCGAGCTTGATTCCCTGCATGCCGAGGTTTTGGATGTCGCTCTCATTCATACCCCCACCAACAAGGCCATCATGCACCGCAGGAGAAGGACTGATGCCAGTATACCCACCAAGCGCCAAGAGGGCCGAAGGAGAACTGAAATTGACAGTGTCGTCGACCCCGCTAGGCACGGCGAGAGGGGTAGCGTATTGATGGGATGAGGCACTTGTGTGATGCGCATGGGCAGGTCCTGAGCCTGTTGGCGTTCTCATTGAAGGCGATTTATGGGCGAGAGATCGAGAGAGAGGGGCGGAGGATGGATGGGGAGAGGAGAGATGGGTTGGTGTTGCGCCAGGTTTGGCTGATGGAGTCGCCATGATAAAATGAAAGGAATGGCCAGAGCGGGGTGCAAAGAGTTATTGAAGATTAGAGGATAGTCAAATCTGTGAGAAAAAACTTGGGTATCATAGAAAAGTATTGAAGCACAGAACGCAAGGAAGCCGGGTATCTTTCAATGCAACTCAATTCTCACCGGCGCAAGTGCCAGTTTAGTGGGTGCACGAAGAAAAAACCGTCAAATGATTGTACAGATCAAGTATCATAACGCATCCGAAGCTCCCCCGTTCCCATGAACACTGCAATTAACAAGCACGATTGATTTCTCGGGGAACATTCCAAACAGACAGCTCCGTCGAAAGACATGATCACGTGTGTTTACACTGTTTGTCTTTATCGTCATATCTCTGCGGTTGAGTAAATGTGGACCAGAAACGTACGAAGTCTATTTCTATAACTATGAAAACTAACGCAAATTATAAGTTTAAAGAAACAGGATAATGTATCCAAAACAAGATGTGAGCCTCCTCACCCTAGACATTCGAGATTTGGTGATGATTATTCTCGATGTCTACAGGGATCCATAGCAATTAACAAACCACCTATTCCACCAAATAGCTTTACAGGTGTGAGCACCAGAAAGCCACTGTCCCGATTTTGCATCTTTTTATGCAACCCTCCAAGAATGCTTCTTGGTAACAACTGATACCCGGGCATACACTCCCACATACAAACACAGTGATGCGCTCCCTAGCGCTTGCTCTTCTTCGGCACACGGAGAAGCCAATAGAGGAAAACCGCCATGAAAATGTTGAAAGCAACATACGCCCACAGCACTCCAAAGGCCATCCATCGCTGGGAGTAATCAACCCCGAGATTTGCAAGGAACTGATCTGTTTCGGTGAATTGGCAGTACAGGCAGTCTTCGCCGTTGCCAATTGCGCCAGAATTGACGAGGGCACCGCCGTTGTCGTTGATATAGTCGTGCATGTACTGAGCGCAGCTCTGATTTGGCGGCGCAATGAATGATAGGTATTCGTTATCAGCGCAGTGCATGGGTGCCTTGGCAAGAGCGGTTGAAAGGAATCCGGTGACGAGGTATGTCAAGGGGTTGGCGCGGTATACCCAACCCCAGAAGTGTGGCAGTGCAGATGGTGGAACGAGTAAACCGCAGACGCAGTAACAAATGAAAACGAGGAAAGTGGAAAGAGTGGAGGCAACTTCAACGGCACCAAGACCCGAGATCATCATATGTCCGAACGTGCTGGCCCAGATGAAGGTGACCCAGATCAGTAGGAAGATGAGAGTGCTGCGTGAATGCAATGAGTCGGTTATCTCGGCGTTCCGATAGCAGCCGAGAGGGTAATACCAGCACGCGAAGGTGAAGATGGACAGGAACTAAGGGTACAGTATTGCATGTTAGTATTGGTATTAGGTGGAGGAAAGAAAGACCGAAAATGATGTATTGCGAGAGAGAGAGAGACAGAGAGAGAGAAGGGCTACTCGGCCACACTTACCATATACCACATCACCTCAACGAACATGTTGGTCAAAATGAAGGCCTGCCAAGAATATGTTTTTGACTGACGCTCACGGGCTTCATACAATGTCCGCTGAGTGACGAAGGCGGGAAGCGTCTGGAATATCATCTGCACCAGGACGAGCAAGATGATGAAAACGCCGAACATCTGATTTTGCAGCCCTTGGTAAGTACTTTCTTCCATGAAGAAGGAAAATCCAATAAACAATGCCTACGACAGGTCAGTTAGGTTAGCTTTGCATCTGTTTTGGATAGGGCGTAGAAAGTGGCGTGGGACCTACCGACAAGATGGCGAGCTGCGCTTTGGAGTAGATATATCCAGGCGAACGCCAGTACTGTTGAAACACACGACACCCAACCACCATTAATTGTGTGGTCATCGGCGCGGAGAACTCTTGGTAACTGGAAGAGTCGTGCGTCTTTGCTATAGCCGAAGGGTCATGGGCGAGCTCTCTCAGCTTGACAAGCTCCTTTGCAACATTCTGGTATTCTGGGCTTTCGCGCCAAGTGGTAGGCCAGTCGATCTCAGTATGTGCTCCAGGGGCGGCTCCAATGATTTTCAACATATGCTCGGCGGGATTAGCCGTCGCTGGACAGGGCTCTCCACCATTGCGGGTGAAGTAGTCCATGAGGGTCGTCGAATTATGGCCAATTTCTCCAAAATAAACAGTTCTACCACCTTTTGCCAAGAGGAGTAATCGATCGAAACGCTGGAAAAGCATCGCTGACGGTTGGTGAATGGTACAGAGAATCGCTTGTCCGTTCCGAGTTAGCTTCTCCATCAGGTTGCAAATGGACCATGAAGTCTGACTGTCCAGGCCCGACGTGGGTTCGTCGAGGAAAATAAGCAACTTGGGACGTGCGACAAGCTCAACTCCAATTGTCAAGCGCTTTCGTTGTTCGACGTTGAGTCCCTCCCCAGGCACGCCGACAACAGCGTCAGAATACTCCTCCATACTCAGCAAGCCAATAACCTGTTCCACATAATCCAGCTTCTCTTTGTGTGTATAATTTGGCGGCTGGCGAAGGAGAGCACTGAACACTAATGCTTCACGCACAGTGGAGGTGTGCAGATGGAGATCTTGCTGCTGGGCGTAGCCTGTTTGCCGCTGGAACGACTCATCACGATTGCGGCCATCTACAAGCATGTCCCCTGTGATGACGCCTGTTGTGACCCGGTTGGCGAGAACGTCTAGAAGCGTGGTTTTTCCGGCTCCGGAAACTCCCTAATACAATTTCCCCTGTTAGTATTCATTCCATATAACCATATGTTTTGATTGATGATGAGCTTCTCCGGTTCTCTCGCTAGGGATGATGTAGGTGGGGATCCAACACTTACCATGAGTGCAGTCAACGTTCCCGGCTGAATCCATCCATCAACGTTGTCTAAAATCCGTCGAGTTTCGCCTTTGATCTGGACGTCGTAGCAAACATTTTCCCAATGGAACACAGACTGTTGCTTTTCAACGTTGCCTTTCGATTCGGAATCGTTGGTTACTCCATATGAAACTAGCTCTGATCCCAGATGCTCCTCGTCGGTTTTCTGAGGCTTCGCATTCGTTTTGGCCAACTTGCTCCGTTGGAATACCAGCACCTCGCCTTTCGAGCGCTCGGCGCTAATAACGTCAGAGATCCAAAGGTGGATAACAGCAAACAGAACCGTGAATGCGATGAGAATGCCCTCATTTCGCCAGCGGTGTGCATATGAATAACCGTAGGAACTCTGGTAGAACGCTGCGCCGCTAACTGTGCCGGAACCAGCAACTGCTCCATGTGCTGTGCATGTCTGTTGGAACGGAGGGATATGCTCATAACCGGATCCAGACGGCACGAACTCAGCGCATGGAAACTCTCGTCCATGGAACTCGTTCGTCATCAATGCTTCGAATGCGTAAAATACAGGATTGATCCATCGAATCCATGATGCCCAGCCACGCATGTAGGACACTGGTATGGCAAACCCAGTGTATAGCGTAAGTCCGATGATGACGACTGATGCTGGAACCATGGCCTGCTCCAGGGTCTTGGTGATAGAGCCTAACAGCCGGAATGCCATCGAGAGACACATCATACAAGTGAATGAGACTAGCAAGTAAAAGAAGAATGGACCAGGCTCGCGCCGAAGATTGGCCATAAAATAGCCGGTCACATTCATGCAGATAGAGAGGGCGATTTTATAGGGTATGTTGGTTACCATCGCCGCAAGCGCCTCGGCGCTGGGATGGTAAAACGCGTACCGACTGTGTTTCTCCACAATATCACGTTTTGCGTAGAGAGTGATGATTTCAAGCATGGAAGTGAAAGTGTTCAGAAGAATCATGATGAAGATAAATGAGCCGCGAAGAAAGAAGGTGGAAGTGTTGTTTGGCATATTGTAGTAAAGACTGGAGACAAGCAAGATTTGCACAATGTTGATTACGAGCGTGGAGATGGGAACGCCAATCTCATTTTTGGTTTGTAGCATGCCTCGCCATAGGCACAATCGAATCTGGGCCCAATATGAGATCGTGTATGGTGACTTCTCGCGCTGCCAACGTGACTTGTCGTTCTTCAGCGACAGGGCAAACTCCTTTGAATCATCGCCGTGGCATGGATGCTGGGTATTGAATTCCTCGATCTTCAACAGGAGCTCTCTGTGCTCATTGCTATTCTTCCAACATTCTGCGAATTCGTCCGGGGTATGGGGCACCGCATTGCTCATCCCATCGCGAACAATGCGTTCGACAGGGCTGGTCATCGAAGTTAAGAAATCAGGAGTTGTTTGGGCTTCCGGGCATTCAAATCCAAGGTTTTCGAAGTACTGTTTTGCCCTGGAAGCCATACCGAAGTAGATCTGTCTGCCTTCATAGAAGACAGTCACTTTGTCAAAACACTAGAGTTAATTAGTATAGGTTGAAGAAAGGTAACCACCATGTATCCCTTACCTCGTAGGCGGCCTGTGGCGCCTGGTAGATTGCAACACATGAGGCAATACCGAAGACATCACTCTGCATCCGCAAAGTTTTGCAAAACTCCACGGCATTAGCACTATCCAAGCCGCGGGTACTGTTGTCCCAGCATTGGAGCGGGGCGTAGCTCAAGGCTGCCTCTGCAATGGTCACCCGTTTCCTTTCACCCCCACTGACACCACGCACAAAGTCGTTGCCAACCTTGGTATTGATTGTGTGGCTAATCCCAAACATGGCCATGATGACGTCGCGCTGGTGACGAGCGTAAGCCTCGCGGCTCATGCCACTGGGGATTGTGCGAGGAGCGCGAGCAAGGGCTGCAAAGTAGAGCGTATCACCAACTGTGAGTGTCGGAAAGTGGTGGTCCAGTTCTGCGGTATAGACAGCCTCTCCGCGGAATTCGTTGTCCATCTGCTTCGCAGTGATACCATGATAGTTCAAATGAGAATTCCGTCCGACGTTGAGCCCGTACGTATTGCCGCTGATTGTCTTCAAAAATGTTGAACAACCTGATCCTGGTGGACCCAATACACACAACTGCTCGCCGGGGAGAACCAACGCATTAACGTCGCGGAGGATCTTGACTTTCTGTCCCTGTGCTGTGTGCTTTCGGACGAAGTCACCGACTGCCTTTAGCAGCTTCATAGGGGCATTCCCCACACTCATCTGATAGTCGACTCCGATGCCATAGCCACCAACGTCCAGGTCCCTGGCCGCAAAGCCCACAACTCGGCGCGAGGTGCTACCCTCTGTGGCGTGTCGTGCGTTGTAGAATTCCTTTGCCCATAGCTTCGCGTTGAAGTCGGGGCTACTAGGATCAAGGTTGGATTCGCGCGCACCATCCTGTCGCAACTGAGGCTTTAGTTGACCTGATTGAACAGAGAAACTGCGGGCCAGCTGAGCGACCTGCTGCTTTCTCAAAATTTCTTTCTCGTCAACCTCTCCCGAGGTGGTGGGTTCGTCGGATATCCTATCGGTGGAACCAGATGATCCATTCAAAGGCTGGAAGCCTGACCTTGATGACCACCGTCGTGGCCTTCCGTCAAGTCCAATCACCTCTCCAGCTGTTGGCATTCTGATAACTCGCAGGGAACCTCAGGGTCAATTTAGACTTAATTTATCATGAAACCTGCTTGCCCAAACCTCGAATGTCGGTCTCACTTTACAAGTAGGACGATCAAAAACAGAGGATGCATAACATAAGACTCGCTCTACGCTGAGATATTTGGAACCGAAAGAAGAAGGGGCTAATACCGAAAGAGTATAAAGTTTAATGCCGAGTACTGCGCATCGCCCCTTACTGATCGAACCTGCGCTAGTGTTGCATTCATGCCCTGACTTTTATTGCTGCTGCATTGTGTTCTTCGGCTGGGGTAAATAACAGACGGAATCATTGGCCCTCCCGATAGGTAGCAGACGCGTGGATCAAGCAGCCGATCTCAGCAGAGGGTGACATACCTTATGCCAAGATGCATAAGCAGACGATTTAGAAGATGATAGGCTCATCTGTCATTTTTAGGTCGGCGCCTGGGCAACTAAAGATCGCAGGCCGCCGAAGCCGCGCCACCAGGGATGTGTTCCGATCACCAATGACCAGTAATAATGGAGCCTCAGCTATTCTCTAAGAAAATGATTAATAATAAATTATTTATGCTGTGTAACCGTACATAGGTGGACCTCACAAGCGTTCCCCTTATCCAACCAGATTCAATGTATGGTAGATTTATGGCTTGGTTTCTGATAGATGATCATTAGATTCTTATATGTTTATCTCCAGGGTTCCTACTTATTGCAAATATAATTTACGAAAAAAATACTACTTGAAAGTTCGGTAGCCATGGGCCGGGCCGTCCGAGTAAACCTTGGAAGTCGGCGAAACGCTATGATCTTGAGTATAGAGCTAGGGCATGCATAACTCTTTTATATCCTTGCATTATTCTACATAATTATAGCACGATATAGGCACATCTTATGTTTTGTACAAGATAAGGTGCTTAATTGGTACCATGCATAGCCCAAAAACACTCGACGTCACACAAAATATTAGACTACTTCTCATTATTTCGCAGGATTCTTTCGGGGTATGCAGGATCTGTTACCTTACAAGATGTATGAATGTTGTCATACAGCAGATCAATCTCAAGGCTGTTCCGTGGCCCTGTGGAATGCATGTACTCTGCAGATCTGCATCTGATGAATCTAATGAATCTGATGAATCTTGGCCCAACTTGTGCCTTTACTCCCAAAGCTTTACAGGGTCAAACACCCAACCACTTACTCTATCTCCAACCACCTACCTGGATGAAATACATACCAAGCCATTCTATCAGCTTCCCCGCGAGTGAATCTTGTTGCGTGTACAGAAATCTAAATTATTTCTCGCCCGACTTTCAATATGGCAGTCAATGGAAGCCAGACCACATCAACCGGGAATATGCTCGATCGGAGCGAACAGTTTTGGCGACGTGAATTCAAGGACTTTTCTGCAACGATATTCCCTATTGTCTCTTCGCGATACAAGCAATCGGCTCTCAAAATACTCACAGAGAATATTGATCTCGCATGTGGCGAGCTTGATCCTGTCTCGGCTGGGGCGGCCTTGGCCCTAGCATGGGGCCTCGTTCTCTCTCGGTACACCGGGAATGACGACGTTGTTTTCGGTCTCGGACTTGAATCAGAAAGCAATGATTTTTCCAACACACCAGTATTGCCTTTGCGGCTGTTAGTCGACCCTCAGCAATTAGCGGTGAACGCGCTTAACGACATCGAAGCTAAGATCATGGACCGGTCTACGTTCGGTGTATCCTCAACTCCAGAATTGTCAACCCTCGGTGGAGATATAGCAGGAGGGTGTCAGTTCATGAACATACTCAACATCAGACAAGGGCAACCAAAGGATTCTGGTGCCTCCCAAAGCATCGAAGCGCGCAAAGTGCCTCTTGTGATCAATTGTGAGATCCGAACAAACGGTGTAGATGTGGAGGCCCTAGTGGATCCTTCTGCAGTCTCCGTTGAAACTACACGCATGATGTTACACCAGCTGGCCCATTCTTTCCGGACTGCTCTTAGTCGTTGCTCTCGGAGCACTCTTGTTGGCGATCTCCGGTCTGTCAGTCCCCAAGGCTTGGCCGACCTGATGGAGAGGGGAGTCCAACCACCTCCTCTATCGATCCATGCCCGTGTACATGATCTCATCGTCTCGCAATGCCAATCTCGCCCATCGGAACCAGCTATCGCTGCTTGGGATGGCCATTTGACCTACCATGAGCTTGATCAGTTATCATTTCGCCTTGCAACACAGCTCACAAAGCTCAATGTGATACAGCCTGACAAAATAGTACCTGTTTTGATGGAGAGATCTGTGTGGATTTCAGTAGTCATCCTCGGAATCTTGAGGGCGGGGGGCGCGTTTCTCCTTATGGACATCTCGTTCACGGACGAGTATGTGAAACAGATTTGCGCAAAGATCGAAGCCCCGATTGTTTTGACATCGGGCCATCAAAATGATCGCGCGAGATTGCTAGGTTTACCCGTTCTCGTTGTGGGAGACAACCTGCTGCTGGCTGATGATGAGGGAAACGATACACATCTTCAGTGCGCTGACGTACAACCATCGGATGCATGCCATGGTCTTTTTACCTCCGGGTCCAGCGGGGATCCTAAGCTCGTCATCATAGACCATGCAGCGGTATGCACTGCCTGGGCAGAACCGACTGCCACTCAACTCATGCTTTCATCATCATCTCGCGTCTTGCAGTTTGGCTCCCATGCATTTGGTGCTTGCGTTGCTGAGTACCTTGGGGCCATGATTCATGGGGCTTGTTTGTGTATAGCTTCGGAGTTGGGCCCAGGGAATGATACAGCGGAAGCGATTCGGAAGTTGAACGCCAATTTTATCACCTTGACCCCTGCTGCATCTCGTCTCCTAGATCCCAACCATGTCCCCTCACTCCAAGTTGTGGTTCTAGCTGGAGAGGCGCCAAGCCCCCTCGATCTAGAGAAATGGCAAGGACGAGTGCAATTGAAATGCATGTATGGATTGGCGGAGACTGCAGCATTCTCCTTGCTTGCCGATTTGACTAAGCCAAACTCAAACTACCGGGAGATCGGAGTGCCAACTCATACATGGAATGCCTGGATTGTAGACACCGACAATGTTGAGGACCTGGTACCGCCTGGCGGAGTAGGTGAACTGCTACTAGAAGGTCCCAGTCTAGGACGGGGTTATCTCAATGATCCGGCTCGTACTGCCCAAAATTACATTCCGGCCCCTTCATGGCTCATGCAGATTCGACCCATGGCACCACATGATTATCGCTGCTTGAAAACAGGGGACCTTGTTCGTTACTCTGCCAACGGGACACTTGAGTACATTCGCCGGAAGGATGTAACTGAAGTAAAGATCCGAGGGCAGCGCATGGACCTTACGAACATTGAAAGGCATCTCGCGCGACAGTATCCCACGGCGGCTCGTGTGGCTGTGGATGTTATCATTCCATCAGATGACATCGGTCATAACGGCGCTATGTTGGTCGGCTTCGTCTATACGGAGTCCCCACAGTGCGATATGCAAAACGAAAATCATGAAATATTTGCTTCCTCGACGATCGAGAGTCAAGAAAAGGCAACCAATGTTCTTTCCGTTCTGAAAGAAGTACTTCCTACAGTCATGGTTCCAGATATCATTGTGGTTGTCAACCGAATCCCGACGACAACTTCGGGCAAGCTTCACCGAGACCGACTACGCCGTCTAGCCTCGGGATTGTCCCGCAGAGCTTTACTGGAGTATGGGAATGTCCAGTTACCAGGGGCTAACGCGCACTCTGAGAGGCTCGTACAATAGATCACTCACGGAGCCTGTGTGTAGGCGCCTAAACCTGATATGGCACTATCTGAGAGTCCCGCTTAAAACTTCTTTTTGGGTTTGTTTATACTGCTATGCTGCTGCTGCTGCTGCTGCTGCTGCTTCTCCTGGAGATGTAGGGACATTTAATAGAAAGGTCGACATATGTAGGCCAGATAGGTTAATAATAAAGTTCGGTATCACGGGATCTCCCGCCTTAGTTTCCGCCCGGGGCGGGGCTTTTTATCTTTGAATCACTGTCTAGCGCTGAAAGTTTATCTGCAGCCCATATCCAACATAGTATGATAGTTTGTATAGTTTGTATGGTAGATCTTGTATAATCCGATCAGCAAAACAGGAAGAATATAAAGGCGGTCTAGTAGTTGCATTTCCTAGATCGGTCCCCGTAGGCCCTTCAGGCGACAGATGGAAGCAGCACAAGGCTTGTCCTAATAAGGCAGGAGTGTAATTTGGTAGATCTAGGTACTTTATAAGTTATTGCCCAATTCTGTGCCTACTTTAAAAATGGCATAATGATCAACAATGATCAATAGAGAAACTACATCGGAGTAGACCTCCGCAGAGCCCACAAAGCCCAAAGCCCAACCCGGGCCCAACCCGCAGATGGGCCGGGTTTTGGGCCCGAGTCGGCCCACCGATGGGCTATGGGCCCAAATAGTGTAAACATGCCGAGAAATTGAGATACTAAGCAAAGTTGAACCCCTTCTTTAGGAAGGAATTTAATTACCCTACGTTTCGCACCGTTCCTAACTATAATTTTTAAGGTCATATTTTATTAATTGAAACTATTTAGCACCAGTTACTAGTTATATTTCTATATCACGTTTAAAAACGCGAGAAAACGCGTTGATTTAGATCATTTTAAAATTACAGATGCTTACCTATAAAGTAGTAGTATTTATACATCTTAGATATGTATCTAATATCAAAATATCAATTTTCACCCTTTCCGCGATATCTCAACTTTACCGGTCGGATTTCGCTTAGAATTGAAATATATACTTACATAGTTTTCATAATTTGATTTTCTAAGTTTGAACTCTATACGATCCGTGGAAGGTTGTAATACAGCGATTACAGGGCCCGATTTATCAGCGCCGAGATGGGCTTTGCGGAGGTCTACATCGGAGATCCTTGGGTGTGCAGGTGGAATGGTATGTACTAACCAGGGTGTGGCGTTGCTCTCGTATATGCATGAGATTTACCAATTATCTTATTACTACAACCAAATTGACGTAACCTCATGAAAATACATCATAAAATACAAACTCACGTCATGGTACCTTGCTGTGATTGGATGTTAGCTAAATGCCCATAAATTCCATTCCCAGTTGTGCAGAATCTCTCCATGATCCTTTTCGAGTGCTTTGTACGGAGTACGGAGGAAGCAAATAGGCATCCTGTGCACTTACGTCTTAATTGAACGACTTAACTGCTATTGACATCTCTTAGTGATAGCAGCCGGGATCATAAGCAAAACAACCCTCAAATAAAACACATAAGTACCCACGTGTCTACTGCATAAGGTTTTCAGTCAGCCATGTTCAAAGTCGCAAGCACACTAGATGCCATGAACCATATGTATGTTGCATAGTACTTGCCGCAAGGAGCTTGAATAAATATGTCCACTGCAACACTGGAGATCGGAATGAGACCATTCATACTCCTTAGGAATGTTACCTGCATGGAGAACTAGAACTGAGTCTCGTGGCCTTTATCCTGCTGCGATCTCCAGCAGATTCGCACGTGTCGGATGCTTTCTTCCTAGTGCCCCCATCTGATACCTTTCACATCAAGGTGCAGTCAGCCACACTTCGCTTTCAACTACCTTACCATGCTGCTTGGCTTTTAAGTGCCGCTCCACCAGGTGCCACTGACCATCAGCTATAAGACAAGTCAGAAATACCTACATCAATTGGATAGTGAGAAGACTAGGTAGAGGTTCAATGACTACCTGTATTATCAGAAGAAGCGTCTGACTCTGACAACCTAGATCGAATGCATTTTGCACGGTGCTTTGCAAGACCAGGGCCCGACCACAATCAGGATCGACGACAGCTTCTTGCAACTTCCCCATACCATACTTCCATATAGATAGCTTACACATATAAGATACAACTCTGCGCTGATAAATGAAGAATCATATACTATTTGTTGAGATGATCCCATCTCCCGTTGTTTGCTTGCAGACTGAGCTCTTGTTTGTCAGATTCAAAATATAAATACCCTGCTCTTTCCAGATCAAATACACAAGTATTCTTCTTCCTCTTCTTCTTCTTCTTCCTCCTCCCCCAGTAGCTAGTAGCTACAACACTATTTCTTATATAGAATACCTTTGAACTGTATCTAAAACCGACAATTTCCTCCAGGGCTGGCTATGGACACGATGACTATTATATATATTGTTGTCACGATCCCTGCCCACGTTTGTTGCCTGATAAAGCTGGCATCAATCAGCATACCAGTCCACTTCACCGCCTTTGCAACCGCCTACCATTTCCATCGAGCTATGATCCAGCTCTCTCGAATTTGATCACATCTAACCTACTATATCCAAGGGCTACTTTGTCAATTATTCACTACCAAGTACCCGGTTATATCTACTCCCGATGTTTGCAGCAAGAATATTTGGCCGACAGGCCCAGGCTATTCCCAAATGGACTCAATTCCGTTGTGTATCGACATTGGAAGGGTCTCCGCACATCGTATGCGATTGTTGCACCTTACAGAGCCTTCATTAAAGCTAAATTCTTGATTAGTATGTGTTCCCAAATGATGGACCAGCAAGTGGAACCCACATCTTGTCACTATTGCCCTCTGAGCCAGCCAACCCAGACTTGGCTCTCGGACTCGCGACTCAACTACCACCGACAACAGACACCTTCAAAGAGAACCCAAAATTCCTAGATATAGTGCAAGAAGTATGCTCAAAATACGCCCATGAAGACCCTGATGCAAAGTCTCAAGCGCAGGTCATGGTGTCTGTGGCTGGAGCAAATCTGAACTCAGGCGGCGTGTTATTAACTGGCCAGCGCGGGAGACGCCGTGGAGCCGACTCGGCCAGTGGCGCTAGTGGTCAAGGTGGTGCAGGATCTGGTGGACGTGGTGGTTGGATTCATGTCTCTGACGGCAGACGGCCGCCTGATTATGGGCGGATTGCTTGGTGAGGATTTACCTATGTTTCACAAGCACGATTGACTCCAAAGGGACTTATACTGATGCTTTTCAGGCCCGAGGATATGTTCGGAAGTCTCGAGGTGGATGCCAACGGTCAGTTCGTTGGAGAAAATGGAAATTATCAGCCAAGTGGTATGTTTTATGATTATATGAGACTTAACAGGCCAAGCTGATACTCAGCAGGTACCTATCGTATCCTGACCCGAGATGGAATGTAAGTATCCCCTTTCTTGGATGCTCTACCATACTGGTATTCGATGTTGATCATTTGTATAGTTTTGGATTGAGTCCTTTCCTCAGAGAAAAGCTGGTTCAGAAGCTACGAGAGCTTGAGAAGTGATATCTTAAAATGGGCCACATCGCCCACAGAATCCTATGTAAATATGTACCAACACCAGCAATCCACTCAGAACTCTACTCTGTTTTTTTGTTTTTTTTTTTTTTTCTAATTCGCATCTGGTTGCTATTGAACTCCTTTTGCCCAGTCTCTCTTTAACCACAAACTTCTTGCTCTTAGACTGTTCTCAACTCAACATATCTTGTAGGTCAATTGGATTGCTTTATGGGGCTGAGTTCACTCCATGCATTAAATACGAGTGTGTTGCTTACTGAATATTGTTCAGCCATATTCTCATCTCTGTTTTGACAAAAAGAAAAATATATATATATATTCAAAAAATATCGCCGACCAAATAGAAAGATTCATTTTCTTCATTGCATGTATCATCACTTCTTGAAGAAACTAGTAATTCGTTGCGATCCATCTGCTGCCTTTGCCCCACTGGACTTCTTCATGGGGCTATTATGGGTAGCACTACGCAACTTCTTCTTTTGCGGCGATATTCCCGTTAGATCTGAATTGATCTTTTGCTTCTTGCTTTCCTCCACAGATCTAGCAGGTTCTGGACTATGCTCCCTTTTAACAGCTGGCACCGGTTTTGGGGCATTGTCCTCACTCCATTCCGAATCCTTAGTAGGGCGGTCATCGTCTTTAGCCATCTTCACTTTCGGCGACACAGTCTCCTTCTTCGGCGATTGCTCTAGAGTCTCCTTTGGTTTCGTATTGGCGAAGAAGTTTGCGATGTTACTCTTGTTATCCTTGCTGTCGACAGGAATAATAAAATTCGGAGAATTATTTCCGACTTTCCCAACTTCCTTGGAAACAGGATAGCACTCCAGTTCGCCCTCATATGGCTTGAGAAGTGATTGGAGCTCCTTCGACCAGGTCTTTTGGCTGGGACTTAGCCATTTATTCATCGCCTCACTCCCGAGGTCCAGTATGACAGGCATACGTTCATGCAGGAACTTCAGGTAGGAATTAGAAGACGTCGTGATCACCGTGTACGTGTAGAGCTTCTGGTCAGAACCTGTACAAAGTAATCGTCAGCCCCATCAACGCTATATATCAGAAAAGCCTAGACATGCCCTCATAGGAAACACAATCCCACAATCCAGCGAAGCACATCAGCTCCCCGTCTTTGCGCCGGACAAAGTGCGGAACCTTTTCTTTGCCCCCAGGCCCCTTCTTCAGCCACTCGTAAAAGCCCTGACAGACGACAATGCACCTCTTTCGTCGCTTCATGGTAGTCCACATCCCCGAATCTTCGATCAACGAGTCATCGCGACAATTAATTGTGCGCATCATGGATCCGTAATCCGGTTGGCGCTTCGTCCAGAATGGGATGAGACCCCATTTCATGCTCTGGAGCTTGTATTTGGTAACCGTGTTGTCTTTTTCCTTTTCTAATTCTTGATTTTGGTGCTCACTATCAGCATCTTGCTGAGCATTGTAACTCTCTTTGTCAGTGATCTCGGCGCGATAGACAGCACCGAAGTTGCCCGGTGCAAAGTTGTATGTCTCTCTGACTGAACTGTCGTCTGGTGCTTCATCCACTTGCATGCCTTGCTCTTGCATGCGTTGTTGGATGTACGCCAAGCGCTTGGGATCGTCAGCTGGCGGACAGTCTAGACACAGGAGCCGTAACATACCACACCCAAAGCGTATCGCCCACACATTATCAGTGTGAATCACTAGATCGATTCAATATTCAGGTTTCCACAATTAATGCTGGATTAAACTAGTGCATTTTCCGGATAGAATGGGCGAGAAAGTGAGTGCTTACTCCAGCGGGCGACGTCATATAGCGGAGCGGAGCTTGGACCACCTAAAAACCGAGGGCGGGCTCTTCATTAACTCACCATATACTCTCCCCCTCCCTCTCTCCATCATCTACGTCAATTTCCCAGGTTGTATCGGACAATCACACGCTCAATTCAATTCCAAATCTCAAATCTCCATCGCATACCCACCCACACACTCCCAATGTTCCGCGCAGCATCACGGCGCACCAGCGTGCATGCCGCAAAACTTCTACATCAACAACCAAAGAGTCTCGCCCGCTCAATATATATCAACAGTACCACCCGACCAACACTCCAACCCCGAATCAACAATGGCAAACCACTTGCAAGCCCCTACATCTCCGGCACGCGGCACCTCACGATCATGCAGAAAATTGGCCGCAAATACCGCGAAGCATCTAAAGGAATCTGGCGCAAGAACCCCGTACTCATGCCGCTAGCAATATTCTCAGTTGTTGGCGGAGCCTTCATCTTTGCTTACATCTCCTACGTGGAATTGACACGGGTCGGGCCACAGTACCACAAATTCCCGCCGCCGGTGGCCGACGCTCTCCGTACGGCTATCTATTACACCGAGATCGATCTCAACCCAGCCAAGGCGATGAAGGCGTATAGAGAGGCGCTGCATATAGCATTTGAGATGGGCATACACCCATACTCGGATGAGATACTTGGAATCAAGCTGCAGGTCGCTATGATGCTTGAGAAGGCTGGACTTGTGAAGCCGGCGATTGATGTGTTGGAACGAACGAAGAACGAGACTCTAGCCTGGGTGGAGGAAGTCACAGCAGGGAACGCTGCGGCGGCGGCTGAGAAGGTGAAGCAAGCGCAGGCGCAGGTGCAGAAGACCCCGGCCAATGTCCAGGTTGACACCGAGGCGGTTAAGGAAACAGAGGAGGACCTGAAAGCAATGGCGCAGTACGAGTCTCGTCAGCGAGATAAAGCGCTCAAGAAAGTTGTCGGCATTGCGATGAAGCTTGGCGAACTTTATTCTAGCGAGTATATACAGGATGAGAAGAAAGCCGAGGTCGCGCAGGTCGCTGCTGTGGAGATCTGTCTGAAGGAAATGCACCGTCGCCAGAGGCTGGGACTTCCTGTTGGCAGCTCTAGCAGTGGTGAGGGCTCAGACGGTGAGGCATGGCTGAACCTCACTGAAATCGCCACGGCGTTGGCTGAGCTTGCCGCTACATATACCGCCAAGGAGCGGTATGAGCTGGCCATGCCGCTGTATATGCGTGCGTTGGACTTGATCCGCGCCGCTGAAGGAACCTCCATATCTTGCAAGCAGGTGGTGCTACTGAACGATGTCGCTACCGCTCTGGTTGGCCAGGTTCAACTGCCCGCCAAGTCTCAACCGCAACAACCTGTTACAGCGGACCAGACTGTTGAAGCTGCCCAGAAGTGGGCGGAGAAGGCCATTGAGGTTGCGGCGCACATTGAACCCCCGATACGTGACGAGGAGTGTGACATCACTTGTGTGGTTGCGACCTACAACCTGGGCGAGCTGGCCGAGCTACAAAAGAAGCCGGCGGTCGCTAAGCAGCGGTATACCGAGGCTAAGGCATTGGCTGATGGGATTGGATACGAGGAAGGCAGTATGATGGCCAAGGAGGCCCTGAAGAGACTTGGAAATAATCGGTAGATCTGTGAAGGCCTCTCTGTTCAGTCTGATGTACATTATGTATGACCAACGTTGGAAATTGAAATCTCAACCCATTCCTGTACATTCTTTAGCACTACCCGAAGAGTGACATCGGGCGGCTACTAAAACATTTTCCTACATGAGTTACACAGTGGAGGGTGAATGAAGACAGATATATAACATGAAAGACATACGGGTACGATGATTTTACAAGAGATTTTCAATAAGAAAAAATAGGAAACATTTTGATGCCTTAACTGGTATTAGAACATCACACGTCTTGTACAAGATTCCATACATTTTCCATGCGGATCAAGTAGGCTAAGACATGTCAGAAAACCTCCAGGCCGGGGACTACTCAGTCCCGGCGAGAAGTGCTTCATTGCTCGTGGCTCATACATCCCAAACCAATGCTCTTCTGGCCATATCTTTTGAACTTTTTTTCAATTCCCTTGTCAATAGATCAAAAAGAGGCTCCTCAAGCTCCGATACAACAACTCAAATCTATGCGCGCGACATAACACCCCAGGCACGGATCTTGTTGTCGGTGTAACCGGCGAACAGGGTCTGGCCGTCAGCGGACCAGGCCAAGCTGATGCACTCGGGGTCACGGCTCTTCTTGCCCTTCTCAACAAACTCAGGCTTGAGCTCATCAACCTTGCTCTTCTTCTCGAGGTCGAAGATGGTGATGGAGCTGCTGGTGGCAGCGCACAGCCAGTAGCGGTTAGGAGAGAAGACGAGAGCGTGGATCTCATCGCCAGCGGAGAGGGAGTAGAGGTGCTTGGACTCGTTAAGGTCCCAGAGCATGGTGGTACCGTCCTTGCCACCGGAGGCGCAGAGGGATCCGTCGGGGGAGATGGTGACGGTGTTGATGTATCCGGTGTGACCGATGTGGTCGGTCTGGAGACGGCAGGAAGCGAGCTCCCAAACCTAGACGCGGATCAAATGTTAGCGTCGATACCCTCATGAAGAATGTCAAGTGTCAAGGAAAATTTTTTCCAATCCTTCTCTCGTTCAATAAAAAACAAAAAAATTGTTGCTGTGCCCATCAGGCAAAATGGGTGAAAAATTGTCTCATGGCCCCGAAGGGCTCTGAAGTAGCAAATACGTTTATGCAAACATCACGCGGGCAAAGCAAGGCGGGGAGGAAATTCTTAGGGGAAATTCGGGATCGATAGCGTACCTTGACGAGCTTGTCCCAGCCAGCGGAGACAATGACGGGGTTCTGGGGGTTGGGGCTGAAGCGAACGCAGGAAACCCACTCGGTGTGGCCCTTGTCGGTGATGGTGAACTTGCAGTCACCGAGGGTGTTCCACAGCTTAATGGAGCGGTCACGGGAACCGGAGACGATCTGACGGTTGTCGGCGGAGAACGAGACGGACAGAACATCGTTGGTGTGGCCGACGAAAGTGCGGGTGGTGTTACCGGTGGAGAGCTCCCAGAGACGGAGAGACTTATCCCACGAGGCGGACAGAGCGTAGGCACCGTCGGAGGAGATCACCTATAACGCAGACAAGACCATCGGTCAGCCAAAACCATTCCATCTTTTTTTTTCATATATTTTTTTTTGCGAAATGCGCCATCCAAATCCATGTGTCGCATCCAATGGTTTGTGGGTGTGGTTCATTCGGGAGAAGAAAAACGTACACAGTCAGAGACGATGTGCGAGTGACCCTCGAGGCTGCGCTTGGGGTAACCGTAGGCCTGCTCATCACGGGTAAGGTTCCAGATGATCAGGGTCTTGTCGCGGGATGCGGACAGCAGCATGTTGGGGCTATCATCAAGAATTCAAGTCAGAATTTTGTCCCTTCAAAAATTCAATCCTCCGATCGGGATAGGTCGCTCTTACTTCTCCAGGGAGGTGGCAAGGGAAGTAACCCAGCCATTGTGGCCCTCAAGGGTGCCGCGAAGAACCAGCTGCTCAGCCATGATGGGAATGAGACAATGAAGGAGAGAGAGGGATGGGCGGAGATTGTCGTTGACTCTGGGGGGTGAGGTAAAATCGAGATGGGAGGCAGACGTGCCCGCTCAAGCCCTAAGCCGCTTCGCTGCTCTCCTTGTGTGGTTCCGTGGAGCCCTAATACTAAGCGAAGAGGTCACATGACTTGCATCTATACAGAGCTTCGGACCTCGACTGCGATGTAGAGATGAAGAATTAAATGTCGATATGCATTCAAGTTCTGTCTGTTATATTCGAAGTCAACAATTGCTTTAATTTCTATCCCAATTTGTGAAATTCACACCAATTGATCCGAGTACCATCAAATATACAACATTGTTAATACACGCCTTCTACTATGGACAATATGACCACTATGACAACTATAGTACATTTTTGAAATCGACAAAACTCCCGAGTTCAACCTCCTCCAAAGGCCTTACGAGTTAAAGACCTGAACATCAGGCATTCTTCCCAAACCACCACCGCCAGTCTTCTTATTCTTGGCTTTCTCAAAGCCAGTAGCACTCTTATCACGAACATGCTCTCTGAGTAGCATGAGAACCTCAGAGCCCTGCCAACGCGACGGAACAGGGCGGTAAGCCGCTCTGAAAGCGCCAATAGTCTGCGCCCATTCACCGCTCTTGGCACCGCTCTCCTTCCAGGTCTCGGTGATAGTATCCTCCTTCGGATCGGAGGGTGAGATCTCCTCTGGCGGGTCTTGCGTCGCCCAGTAGTAGATGTCCCAGTCGTTCTCGTCGAGGAAGCTGTCGTACTCGACAAGCTGATCGTAGTCCATCTTTCCCAGGTAGACATCTGCGAAGGTCGAGAGGAGCAAGTCTGACTCCAGGATTCCGCGCTTGCGGCTTTGGTCTGGGGTGGAGTTGGTTAGCTTGAACGGTTCTTGCCATATCGATGCACCAGATTCTCGGCTTTAGCTGTAGGGCTGAGGTGCAAGTATGCATGGGAACGGGTACGAACATAGCAGACGTGCCCTCTTCGTGGCAAGCTCCTCCCCGACTCTCTTCAAAGGCTCAACCTTAAACGTAATACCCTCCATCTCACCAACGCCAAGCTCGGGCTTCTGCGCCCCGTTATCCTGACGGCCACCGGTGAAATGCTCAATCCTTCCGGGGTACGGATCAGACGGTCTGTAGTTGGGGTCGACGGAGTTCAGCATCTCCGGTGGCGGCGGCTTCTGCCCGACATTGATAAAGTCCTTTGTCATGGTGGAGGTTGTGTTTGGAACGAATTGGTTTGGGGACTTGTTGGCTTGGTTTGCGCGGTGTGCCTTTACCTCCGGGGAAGCATCGTCGCCATCTTTGAGACGTAGAGCTGTTGCGCCGAATTGGCGGTTTAGTCTTGTAATTGTGCTTAGGGATGATGGCACTGGTCGCGCGAGGCGATGGAGTATACGTGGGGCAGACATCTTGCTGTACAGTATCCTATAGAGAGAGAGTTGGGACTTTCTTTCCTCTAGGGGTGAGGAGTTTGCGTTTGATGCTCGGCTTTGACATCATCCGGTGTAATAGCCCGGGGAACCGAAAAGCCCCTGTAATGCCCGGTGTTTGTTCTGTTTGCAATACTAAACATTCCACTGAGAGGCCGTGGATTACACACTTCTCGACACAGTGCAGTTCCATAGGTTCTATGTGTCTATTGGGGCCTTTGGGGACCTGAAACTGGCTACCTTTTGTTTGCTGCCTCGGCCCATCTGCTGTTTTTATTTCATTAAACTCAGAATCCCTCTGCAAGATGCCGACCTAGATGTATACACTGACCTAACATAAACATCTAAAGCTCCATCTAGGACTACCTACAAGGTGCTTACTATGTAGACGTACTTCATTAGCATGGGTAGATATTAATCCATCCATGAATACTCGGGTAGTACCTCATTGGTCGAAAAAGAGCCCTGTAAAGTATACATAGGTGGCTTACCAACCATCCCTAAGATATCACATGCAAGAAACGGAAAATATTATTAGCGCCAGGCTGCAGAAAGCATGGTGTACATTTTATATCATTGAGATCATGACTGTTGAACAGAATGCCACTCGACATTAGAGCAAAAGGATTTGCAATGCAACCGCTGCAAAACCAAAAAAAAAGAACCGTCAAAGATGCAACCATTCCATGGACTAGTAAATCTAAATAAGGTGCTTAGATCTGCAAGAACCGAATAGTCAGTAACCAATTCCAGCTTCCACCACAACCATATTTCCACGTACCTGAAGTAAGCCCTCAGGTAAACAACCTGCCAAGCACCTAGCCCGATCAGCATACCCATGGTCCCGAAAGCGAACCACTTCACACGCTCATTGGTGCTCTCATTGGTATCACGCAAACGCTGCTCACGGGCGCGCAGGTACTCCATCTCGGTAACGATATCGGCAACCATCTCTTCGATGCGGCGGAGGTCTGTCTCGACGGGCTTGAGCTTCTCCTGTGACTGGATGCTGTTCCAGTCGCGGGCGTCGGCGCCAATGTCGACATCAAGCTCGATGGGACGGGAGGGGTTCTGCATGGTGTCTGATGTGGGGGTATCGTTTTAGTATGACTTTTTCTTCAACTCCAGCTTTTCCCCAGTGGATTGTTCGCGTTGTTCGAGGGGACTACCACTTACTGTGGCCGACAAGCAGGTTCTCGAAGCAGACGTCAAAAGCCGTGTCCGCGGGCGAAGTGAAGATTTGACGCGTCTCGCCGACGACATCCTTAGGACGACCGTGGTCATTGCCCATAGCGTCCTTGATCTATACGGAGAAAAGAATTAGTCGTGGTTCACAATTCAGCGGTTTGGCATCCAAGTCCCAGCAGACTCAGGACGAAATCCCATCCACATCTAGAAACAATCCCACATACATGAATATTGACCTTCTGGCCATCACCCTTCGTACCACCAACGATAGCAGTAATAACGACGAGCTGGTCCTTCGAGACGAAGTTGCGAATGCATCGTTCGTTCTTGCCGCCGCCGGAGGTGGCGACGAGGTCGAATTTTAGGGCACTAGCAAGCTGAACGAAGACAAAGAGGAAGCCAAAGATGGCCCTCAGTGTGATTGGTGAGGTGCCCATTGTTGCGGCGTTGAATTGGCGGTTGTAAACACGGATGCTTGCTGCTGTTGATGACACCTGGTAAGGGGAGTGCGGGATTAAATTTGTTCCGGTGTTACACTCTAAGACCTATAACTAGTTATATACTTCGACAGTTGACTATTTCACACAGCAAATAAATATTGCTGCCATCTAGTCAATTGTTTCGTATTTAAATAAGTTAATTTTTTTACTAACTAGTTATTCATTGGAGTTATGGTGTTCACAGAAGAATGAAATGGTTCGTGAATGTCAGGGCATTGAAAATAGCCCAAGTATTGGCATGGTATCTCGAAATCCACGAAAGCAATCAAAGCTCAACAAAGAGACAAAATAGAAAACCCCGAAGTCCGTATTAATCGTTCAGTGCCACGCAGAAAGGCAGACGGTAAAGTGGCGTATGAAAGTGCAAGAGAAAATAAGAAAAAAAAAAAGCCACCTGGTCGTAGGCGTAGTAAACAATAAGGAAAAGAGGACATGACTCTATGTGAACAAAGCAAGGAAAAATAATGATAAAGATGGCAGTGTACTGTTGCACAAACAAGAAAGGCCAAAGCGATGGACATGATATGTAGATCGTTAGATGAATGGGAACGCTCAGCAAAGCAAGACATTAGTCCAGAATGTCGTCAGGATACTTTCAGCCCATTAAGCCTCGACCTTCTTTCGGCGTGCGAAGAAACGGGAGAAGCCACTGTCCTTCGGCTTGGATCCCATGGGTGTTGATGAAGACCGCGTAGGGCCCGGAGGCCCAGTATTTCGGAGGAAGTCCGCCAAATCACCGGTGTCGGTCTGGCGGTTTGAGATAGAAGGCATGGTGCCATTGTTGCGCTCCTGGCCAACCTTGGCAGAGTAGTTGGTCTGGTCCTTGGTTGGGGGGATTTGTGTGCGCAAGGAATTTTGAGAGGTACGGAGCAGCCGGGCCTTCATGCCCGATGCACCGGAGAGACCATTTGATGCAGAAGCACTAACTGCAAATGGCTGTGGGGGTTGTTCGGAGGGGGGAGGGGGAGGAGCGTTGCGCAGGAAATCCATCAGGCTCTCCTCCTCGCGCCTGGGCTTGGGATTTGCTTCTTTTTCCAGAAGCTCTTCTAGAAGCGCATCGTCGTCATCGTCGTCAATGGCGTAGGGATCGGGAGCACGGCGTTGCTTCCGAACAGGCTGGGGCTCGTCGAAGTCCGTGGCGCTTCCCGATGCCGTAGCCTTGTTCCTGTTTGAATCCAGTAACCCGGACCGCGAACCAAGAGATGTCAAGGATTTATTGGGCGTAGATCCATTACCGGAGCTGACGAAAGACCTGGTGGTATTATCCAGCTGAAGATCATCCGAATCAATGGTATTGCGGAAAGGTGCAACTGCCCGAGGAATCCGGTGAGCACCTGCAGGCATAGGAGGTCCCTCGCGAATGAAATCGATGAGGTCCGAAGTCTGAGATCCTCTCGTCTCAGCAGACCGAGCTTGAAGCTTAGGTCGGTTTCCACGGGAGGCAGTGGAAAGAGTTGATGGAGGGCGAACAGGCCGCGCGCTCTCGGCAGAGATAGAGGTCTTAGACTCGGATGGCCCACCAGCAGGGCCAGTCGATCTCATGAATTCCGCAAAGTCGCGTGTCGAATCCGAGGGCGCGATTCGCGCATCCCGCGCCCGTCCCATCTTGCTAGACCTCGAAGTTGATGACATGTTGGTCAAGCGCGTAGTAAGTGGGATGTGCTTGGGTGACTCGATGGATTTGGTTTGGGAGATTGGGGACATCTCTCCGGTTGTCCTTGAGGAAACCGAAGCGTGAGGGCGGTGTTTATCTTCGCCTGGTGGTGCAGTGGTATTTAGGAAATCAGCCAGGTCGGAGACGCCTGCCGTCTCTGATCGAGGAACTGATCGGTTAGGCAGGTCAGGGAAGGTCATTTCCCTCACACTTCGGGGAGTGAGGGTGTAGTGGATAGTTTCATCACTGTTGATCAACTTGTCCAAATCGGCAATTTCGTTGTCTACAGAGTCTACGCTCCCGCCAGATGCGCGACTTGTTTCAGACGAGCTGCGCATGCGGGGCGAACCAGATTCACCCTGTGGTCGACTCATGATGCCCTTCAACTTGTTGGACACCTGCGATGTGGTGGAGCCGGCAGTCACTGGACGCGTATTCTCGCGAGCGCTGCCAAAGCTCCCAGACCGACGCGTTTTACTGATGATAGATGAAGACATCGATGGCCGAGACATGCGCTGAACAGCCGCTCGTTCAACTACCGAGGCGGAGGCGGAAGAGGTTCGGTTGCTGGTTGTGACCTCCAACGGAGCAGGTCTGGGGCGAGTTTTCGATCGCTGCGAATTACCTGAACTAGAAGTTGGGCGAGGAATGTCGGCGAGGAGATATTTCGAAGACTTTGCCGTTTCGGTGCATTCCTCCGACGGCCAAGTCGACGGGGTGGTGGCCACGGTCATGTTATTCTGATTATCGGTCGCATCGTGATCGATACAAGATGTGATAGCCTCGATGGGGGGTGCGGGTGGAGCCGGCGTGGTCTCAACCCCTTGCATTGAAGGTTGGCCCTCCGCAACGGCTTGCATTTCAGAGTCGCTAGTCTGGTCAGAGATCGACCTTGCATTGAGTAGACTGGCATCCCTGGGGGATGGGCGTTTTGGTCGGTGTATCGTCGAAGTCAATTTAGGCTTTTCACGCAGCCCAGTGCCCTCAATTACTTCTGGGTCTTTCTGATTCGACCGATCGCCCAAGGATACGAGGGAGACGCGAACACTATTGGATTGATCAGTCATAGCGTCTTCATCTTTTGCTATAGCGCGCAAGGATGCAATCGTCTCGCCGACTGCAGGAGGCGCCTCCTCTTCTTCTTCATGCAAGATCGACATTCTCGTATTTTCAGAAGCTTCTGCTGCAGGTTCGAATGACGGTGTCTCTTCGTGTTCTGGCATGACAGCAATGTCAGGGGTAGTTTCGGCTGCATCCACATATTCTGCAGATTCATCATCCTCGTACATAGTCTCCAGTTGTTTCTTCTCGGATGCGGTAGGTGATGGGTGGTCTGTTGGCGACTCGGGTTCCTCCTCGTCGGGCTCGGGTGGGGGTGGCCCATTAGGTAGAGACCTCGTACGAACATGACGGATTGATTTGCCAGGTTCAATAGCTGACGCACTCACGGGCGAGCTGTTTGCTGAACCCGGAGATTTTGGCACAAGCGAGGGAGATGAAAATACCATCAGACTGCGCGGTCGCACCTTGTGAGCAATAACGGCCTCCATGGTCTGTATCTCTCCATCTAGATCGCCAATGTAGCCCGGGACCTCAATCTCTTGAACGTCGTAATCGCTCATTGGCAAGGGGACGGTGGCGGGATCGAAAGGCGGGGGACTCGCCACTGGAAGAGGCTCCTTGGGAGTCACTGGTTCCTCGATGGTTACAATGCTGCTCTTCCGGCTGTTTGCCAGGGAGTATCCACGTGGGCGGAATGATTCGCGGGATAGTGTTCGAGAAAGAGTGGTTCCGCGTCTGCGCTGCCTCCACGTGCGCCACAGGCGACCCAAGGTTGCATTCAGGGCCAGTTTCTCCATATCGAGATCTTCCACCACAAGTCGGTCGATTCTTTTTCGTTCGTCTCCAGATCCACTGAACTCATCACCACCATTGTTGAGCTGTGCCGACAAACGAGACCGTGCTGTCTCGCCAGCAATGACGAGTGCGCGCTCGCCAATGTATTCGATGATCGAGGTAAGGAAAATAGAAGCTGCAGGTGTAATATTGTCGACATGACTGGTAAATCTGCGTGGTGCTCCATCGGTTTCTCCAAGACTATCTTGTGCGATAAACTCGTCTTCGTCATCCTCTTCCATGTCGCCCAGTCGTGTGTAGACCATGCATCGTAGACGGGTTAACTTCCATGAGCGTACTAGATCAAAATCGCCGCCGGGCTGCTGGCCGCCGCGGAATTCCGTCTGCTCATCGTCCGCCCCGCCCATATATTCGTTCAACTCTTCCTCGGCTGAGTTTACAACTTCCTTGGCCAAGCGAGGCTTCAATACATCGGCCATGGCGGGTCGAATGCATGCGAGCTGCGTAGACTTTGACGAAGCAAGAATATTAAACAAGAGGTTATCGAGGAATCCGTTCAGGAGTGATAACGCGGCCGGGGTCACCAGCGCCGTGGCGCCGGCCCCGGTTTCCTCATCCTCAGCAACAAAATCGGCGGCGTTGAACTCCTGGTCGGCAGAAATGATCTCTGAGGCTGCAGGTGGCGAGATGAACGCCGGGGACGGCGTCACGGATGGTGGAGACATGAGATTGACTCGAGAAAACTGCGAATCGCTAGAAACGACGCTGGGGCTGCGCGAACGGGACGCGGCCCCAGTATCCAGGAAGTCGGGTACTTTGGTAGATTGCATTGTGTACCCCAAGTATATTTAGGTCGAGGGCTCGAGGGCTCGATAACTCGAGAGCTTTGGTTGCCTCTATTTCTGTGTTCCTTCGCAGACCTCAATTTGGACGGAAGGCGCTGGGTAGAAATCGAAGTTTCTAAATCATCCTGTACTACTAGGAACGTCAGTCTGACACGATTCTGCGGGTGAAATCTGACTTGGGTGAAATTGGGGGCTTGTACGACTGCATGCGCAACGCAACCTCGCCCCGACGGCTCCCCGTGACAATGGAAGGGTGGATTTTCAACTTACCTGTTTTATTCAGAGATGCGATCAGTGCTCATACCGCATTGGCATAGGGAAAGTAGAAAGAAGCAAAAGAATAAGAGTGAATTACTCGTGAAGGCCAGGAGCGAGAGAGTCAGGAGTAATTATTCCATCCGAGTCAAGTGGATACTTAGGAACATTCGGGGTCGACTACCGAATAATTTATGGAGCAGCTGCAATTGTATACAAATCTTACAATCTTACCTGATTACACTTTTCTTTTGGGGTTGCATTGTAAAGACCTGTAGCTTATTTAAGTTATTCCTCTATTTTAAATGCCATGGCCTATTCACCTATAGATATACAGAGTACGGAGAAGATTGTAGGCAGTTACTGTACTATGCATATCTTATTAAAGACCTGTTCAAAGACGGTCTTCCCCCTTATTGGAACCAAAAAGAAAAAGCCTTTGGAAAGAAACCGACCGCAATCCCGCCCCAAAGAAAAGAAAGAGAAAAAAAACAGAACAATGTCCAGCGATCGGCACGCTAAAGTGCCCCGCTCGCCCCTCGTTTTAGGCCTGATTGGTTGTGGCCAACCAATCATTGAATGACGTTCCATGGATTGGGGCGGTGGGGGACTTAGTTAGGCTTTAGCGCCATTCCTTTCTGGTACAATTATTGATTTTTGCCTCGATTTATTCCTAAAAAGAAGTTGGCCCAGGTGCGCGTAGGGTAAATGGGCTTTCAAGGTGTGTCTCGGAAATTATTTGTAATTATGATATCTGATATCCGGATATCTCATTTAATTATGACCCGCTAATACTACGGGGCACATTCGGTAGTGCATCTCTTAGCGCATAATATCCTTTTTCTACACGTTCCTCAGCCGTTCCACAGGTCCCAGGGGCACGAGGATAAGCCTGTGGCGTACAAACGCCATGCTAGATCCCCATTTTCGAGTTTCTAGAAACTTTATGTATACATATTGCACAATTTAAAACCTTGGAACACTTTAAAATCTGAGACAAATATCCCAAATTATATCAATTTCCCCAATCAGCATCCGCTTAGGTGGCCCCCGATGTGACGCACACCTGTCCGGGTGGCCGTACCTGATCTGAACCATTTGTTTATCAACTCTGGGTCCTCCAATCAATTCATTTGCTGACCTCCCACCCGTGGAAGCACGCTATATTCATTTTTTAGAGGAACTCCTGAGGTCCTCCAGCCTACCTATATGAACGAATAAGAAGCTGAGAACGCCATCTCATTATATATTGTATGTTGTACGGGATAATACAAAGCACAAAAGATACGGAATGTACGGAGTACTCCGTACCCACGTAAGCATACAATATCGGAGATGACAGGACTTCGGGTCAAGTGGGCCGATGAGACAATGAACAATACAATAGGGTTATAGTGACTATTGCCAGATGCTCCAGGGCATAGCACGCACTAGCAGTAACTAACGATCACAATGGATATTGTCATAATAAGACCCGAGTTATGCAAGAATATCATGATTTTCCTACATACCCCGGAAAAAGCAACAAACAAACGTACAGCGCACAGCGCACAAATTGTTGTTGCACCTTGCAGGGTTGTTCCATAGATCCAGTGATATATCAGATCCCATCTTCATGCATATTCTCTGATCTGTCCCACCCCTCAGCCCTAGAAGCAGCTTACTATGTGCAGCATCAACATCCTAGGACCTCGTCCAAGTACCAGCACCAGCTTCACCCCATTCGCACAACCAAACACTACACGTTACAGCCGGCATTGAAATAAGGTCATCCTTATTCCGTACTGATTTCCCGAATAAGCCCCCCCCCCCCCCCCAAACGGCCCAGTCTGCATTTCCATTCCCAACGACCCCATCGCACCATAGCATGCGTGGCTATGACTACAAATTGGGAATCATCATCAGACAAAATCTTAGTTTCCCTAGCGACCCCTGGCCCTAGAACGTATCCTATCCTCGAACTCCATTGTTGGAGCCAATATACCCCATACGGAAAGAAAGATGCTCCACTCTGTTCCCTAGCTGTCAAACCCTTCATGACAATCCCTCAGGGCTCCACAATCTAGCGTGTACGGGAACTTGAATCAAGCTAAGGATCCTGCCGTGATCGACAGAGGACTGATTATTCGGATTGATAGATTGGCCGAATATCTCCGCGATTTCTTCCTCATCTGTCTATTTCTCCGTGGGACACTTCTCGCTTGAGAGCTATGCAACACGAATGACATAGTACGGAGTACGGAATATATTGCATACATTACCGTACATACACTCTATTATTGGTACCTCGATAGTCGACCCGCAGGCTATGCTGCAGAATATCTTCCAGATGAGGGAAAGTCCTGATCGTCCATGATCGACATCGAGTACCAAGGACGAGAAAAACGACAGAAAAGAGAACTCAAAAGCCTGTTTCGACCAGGTCATATTCACCGCATCGTTCTAAAAGTCTAAACGATAACCCCCTACTCCGTATGCTATGCTCTAGTGTATATTTTACCTTTCCAAGCTTGTTCCCCATGCTGTCTGTGCTCTACGCCCGTTGTGATCGACAGATTTAATTAAAAACGGCTGTTGACGCTTCAATTTTAGATATGCACGAGTCATTTCATATGATACGTTACTTCACTGTGGTCAACCGGAAATTTAAATAAAAACGGCTAGTCGATACTTCATCTTTCGAAATGAGCGAGTCATGTTTATATGATATGTCACTCTTAAACGGTCACATTTCCCCCTAAAAGCACAGGTGCATCGTGGATAGGTCCAAGTGTACGAAGCATGGGCTACACACATTCGAATTTCTTTGCTTTTGTTGGATTTACTGTCGTCGTGTGCCAAACCCCGAAACGCCAAACCCTGAAACGTCAAATCCCGAAACCCTGGGGTGATCTTCACTGCATGACGATAGATGATATACTCCGTGCCTCTCATGGCGCTACATAACTCCCACGCATGAAACATGTAGAGCTTGGCACCACCTAATCCATTATCTCATGTCACTCATCATCTAACTACCAAACTAGCACCCAGCTGCATTTTTGCCCCTTCAAATGGAACTACAACATACAGACAATAATTCCCGCTGACCTCAATGCAGCTAAGTGGATAATTACCCGCCGCATGAAGTCCCACCCGATGAAGAAACGAAGAACAAAAACAAAAAAAAGAAAGCATCATATATGATGGTTTAGTAGTAATCGACCTTATTGAGCCGTACCTATCGGCCGGTATCCACACTGTCTCTTCGCAAGACTCTACGGATTACGGAGTACACGGAGTATAATCACCAGTATGTACTAGCACCACCACACCAGCCGCGCACCCCCCGTCCAAGAATACATCGGCCTATCCCTACCCTGCAAGGAAGGAAATGAGAAAATCCCCCGGCCGAAACGCCCACTAGTGTCTGGGCCCTTCGCCGACGAAGATATGACGGATGAAGGGGCTTGCTCGGCGTATCAAGCGTGTTAGAGTGTCAGGCAATTTCTGGAAGGAGAATGGCGTTGTGTTGGGTGCGCCCCAGTCAACGATAATTAACACTCAGCAATAAATTGGGTACCTTTTGGATGGAGGGCACATACTAAAAGTACAAAATAAACAAACCACAATATTTAGTTATGATGTTTTCTTAACGTGCTTCTTAAGACCTCTGCATTAATTATTTAGGATTAATCTTACGGGCAAAATGATCTGACCACATTTATATTACATATTGTGCATTTCGAGGACGGAGGAAAATGGATGTTTAGGCTTTTTGTATCCTTTGTACTTTTCGTATGGGCGTGCCATACAAAAGGTACGTAAGTTCAAGATATGTACTTGCAAGAATAGTCGGCCGCTTATGCGGCCTTGTCATGTCCTTTTGGTGGTCTTTCTAGATGTCTTTTTAGGTGTATATGAAGGCGGTAAAAAAAGCATAGTTTGTGCAAGAGACTGTATAACCCTTGAATCTTGTGCCAGGGGTTACGAGGAATTTCGGAATCATCCGGCTCGGTTCGAGCGGTTGTGATACGATATATATATATATATATATATACTCCGTGATAGCACTGTGAATAGCTAATGACAATATAAGCACGTAGTACTGAGGTGTCCACAAGTACCTACAGGTATATATGTGACCTCGAATTTTGAGAATCTGGGAGGACCCGGAATGGTTTGTCGGAGGTTGAATAGTCGCTACATGGGCTGATGTAATACAGGGGGATCATGCTTTGAGGGGGAGCTATTCGGAGTGAAGGGTGGCCTGTTTTTTTCTGTACTCGCCTTGTCTGAGACATAGGCAGTGTGATGAGTGGGGCACTCAAGGCCGGAGTCATACAAGACGACGATGGTAGGGAAAATAGGCTAAGCTGCATCTAAATCATGAACTTGGGAACATGTGAAATATTAAAACTGTTTTTGAATATCAAGTGCTAGTTCGGGAAAATACATGACCACTGTCAAATCCGACTCCGAAAGCAACTGGTGAGAAATTTGAAAGCTTTTCCTGGCTGAAGAGCCGTTCCATTGTGTGCCCCCCGCTAGATAGTGGGCGAATCCGAAAGAAAACATTTTGTCATAATCGTAAAGTCGTGGCATTTGTTTGCCGATGTGCAAGCAGATCTCAGACCCGTGCAGGCAAGGTTTTGGTTCCGAGGTCGTGCGCAATGCCGCCAGCGAAGAAGCTCAGTTCATCAGGACCAATGTTGACACGACCACTCGCTAGTCTGTCCAGCAGGAATTTC